CAAAAGCACCACAGAGCATTAAAAAAAGGCTGAGAAGGGGGTCCTGGGTGCTCTCTGAGCTGGGTGGTTTTCTGGCAGACGTTTCATGACCCAACTAGGTAACGTCATCAGTGCTGGAAGCGATGCTTTGCACTCCGTGAGCTACACAGCCCTGATGTTGTTATCTAGTTTGGGTCACGAAACGTCTGCAGGAAAACCAAACTCAGGGACCACCAAGGACCCCACATTTCCACCCTGAGCTATGAATATTCTCCTTTATTAGGCCGAGTGTCGAGTTGAGAAACTTCTCAACAAGAATGGAGAACTTCTCTAAGCACAGGCTGGTGTTAAGACTGGGGTGAGAGCTTGCCCCCATCAAAAGTTTTGTAAAAAAAACCTTTCTCCCAGGGGACCCCCACGGCCGTCGCCCCTCCTCTTTGGGGGACCCCGGCTTCGGTGAAGGATGCCTTCAAGCCCAGCAGAGTTTCTAATCTGGACAAATCTGCAAGGTGGTTAAGGCCGGGCAGGGCTTCAGATCAGACCGAAGCCAGGAAAAGGGGGTGGGGGGGGAGAGAAATTCAGGTAGTCCTTGACTTACGACCGCAACCGAGCTCAACCTTTCCACCGCTAAGCGAGACGGCGGATAAGCGAGCTTTGCCACGCTTTACGACCTTTGTCACAAGTTGCTAAATGAAAGCCCTCCAGTTAAGTTCGTAACACGGTCGTTACGTGATTGTATGGACCGGGCTCGTCGGAAGGTCGCAAAAAAGGGGATCCCCTGACCCCGGGGGCACGCTGCGACCGTCGGAAATACGAGTCAGCTGCCGAGCGTCCGAATTCTGATCACGTGAGCCTGGGGATGCGGCAAACGGTCGCTAAGGGTGAAAAACGGTCTTAAAGTCCCCTTTTTCAGTGCCGCCGTAACTTCCCCCGGCCGCTAAAGGAACCGTCGTAAGTCGAGGACTAGCTGCAGTGGATGAGACCTCAACTGGAACGGCTCAAGAAATATAAAAGCCACAGTAACAGACGGACGTTTTTCAAACTGGGCCATTTCCAAGGCGGGTGGACTTCAACTCCCAGAATTCCCCAGCCAAGTTTGAGAAACACGATTATAAACAGACGACGGACAGCACAAACACTATCCCAGATAGGATGCAGCTGGAATATTTTTTGGGGGAAACCACGTCGTTCTTACGGGAAAAAACGCTCCAGCTTTGAAGCAGAACACAGGGTGCTCTGCAGCCTCCTGTCCTCGACTTACGACGACAATTGAGCCCAGGATTACGATCTTAAGCGGTTGCTGTCATTAAGCAAGGCGCCCACGCAATCTTGGCTCTCCCTGTCGCGGCTGTTATGCAGGCTTCGGGGCTGGGGGGAGGACCCGTTTTGCTGAACGAACGGTCGCTAAGTCGAGGACCCCCTGCGTTTCTTCGAGAGCCGAGATACCTATTCGGTAAATTAAGTGGCTGACTTGGATCGGCCAAGATGCTGGCACAGCTGTGCAGAGGTAGCCAGGATTTCAGCTCGCAGACCAGGGCTTGTCGTCCCCCCCCCCGGGGGGCAGCACTCAAGAGCTGGCCGAGAGCGGACGGAGGTTCTTCTCTTTGGAGAAATAAGTTTCCTACCTGAGTAAATTGGCCAAGTGGGAAAAAAAAAGAGGAAGAGACACCCAAGGATCGCTGCTGCGGAAGAGGCATCTGTAAATTGTGTTGTTTTTTTTAAAGAGACCAACTCTTTAAACGTTGGGCTAAGCCAGGGGTAGTCAACCTTGGCTCTTTTATGACTCGTGGACTTCAACTCCCAGAATTCCTGAGCCAGCTTAGCTGGCTCAGGAATTCTGGGAGTTGAAGTCCACGAGTCATAAAAGAGCCAAGGTTGACTACCCCTGGGCTAAGCTGAAGTCCCTGGAGAGGCCCTTGCAAAAGCTCAAAAAACCTGCTCCTGTTTCACAGAGCGCGCTCTGCAAACGTCGTCGTGCTCAACAGACACGACACGACAATTGAGTCGCTTTTAGAGGCCATTCGCCAGGAGTTTGATGCAGAGGTCCCTGGAAACTCTGGGGAAGGGTCTTCTTCTTCTTCTAGTACCATTTTATTTTATTTTTTTTAAAAGGCGGGGATTATCCCAAGCCCTCGGAGAGAACCTTGGAAAAGCCCTTATCTGCTCAAATCTCGAGAAATAAACAAATAAACAATCTGGATGGTCCCCGAGGAAGAGGGCCGAGCATCTTCACCATGCCAGCAAACCAGCCGACGGCTAAATTTCCCTTCTTGTCCCTACCCTGTGCTCCAGGACCTGAAAAGCGGGCAAACTTCCTATTTTACAAAAATATCTAGTCGCGTACAGTTAAAATAAACCCATGCGTACCGGTTTTCTTCCCCGCCCCGCCCCATCCCCCATTTTCCATAAAGCATTCCACAGTGTCACACAGCGAGGTTCTTTTTTTCAAACTGTTACAAGGGCGTTTAGATCAGGGGTCGGCAACCGGCGGCCTGTTGGCCCAATCCGGCCCGCGGGCTAAAAAAACACAGGATAGCTGGGGAGAGGGGGTCAGTCCTGAGCCTCAGCCAAGCTCCTGGGGCCTGCTGGACACAAGGGTGGTCTTGGCAGCCGGGCCAGCGTCATCCAGTGGCTGCCGTGCCCCTTGAGTTGCAGACCTGCCCGCCACCCCTGCAGAGGCAGAGAAGGAGACAGGATTTGGCCCTCGAGATCACACGGTTGCTGACCCCTGCTAACTCGCAGCCAGGTTTGCTGGTGGATTTGAACCTTTCCCGTGCGCCTCCTGCAAACTTCCCGGAGCGTTCACCAACCAGTTGGAAGAGGAGCCGGCGTGGGTGACCGGCAAGGTTGAACGTGTTTCCCCCCTCCCTCAGAGGAAAAAGACCCAGCGGTAGAACACGCAGACCGTAAGCATCAGGGTACAGTAAAAGGCAGCGAAAGCGCAAAGCTGAGTAGAGAGTAGCACCAGACTCGGCTCTTCGGAATCAGTGCCCAGAGAAAGGAGGGATTCGACAGTCCTTTGAATGCTGAGGTTTAGCTGGAGAATGTCAGAAGGGGAACACAGGCTGTCCTGTCCAGAGGGGCAGCAGGAAGGGAAAACAGACAGAAAACAAAATTAGTAGAAGCTTAAATCACTGGTAGGCATGCCGGACGGGGTGAAGCTGCCCAAGGTAAGCTTTTCGCCAGGTTGCAACGTTCCATTTTTGTCAACCGCCTCTACTTAATGCGTAGACGCGCCAGTAGCCCTTGACTCGTGAGCAAACTGAGCTCAAAATTTCCCTGGTTAAGCAAGACAGTTGCTAAGTGAGCTTGGCCCCATTCTGCAACCGGTCTTGCCACGGTCGTTAAGTGGATCACTGCAGTTGCCAAATTAGGAAGAATACGGTTGTCCCAACAGTTCTGAAGGAGCTTCTTGGCTGAGAAGGAGAATCAAAGTCCAGTTGCCTTTTGAAAAAAAAAAAGCAGCTTTGGATGACTGAGAATCTGCGCAGACGTTTAGTAACCTGGTTCTTAAGTAAATCTGGCTTCCCCCGTTCTCTTTGCATGTCAGAAGATAGCAAAAGGGGATGAAAACGATGCACCCTCAAATCCACTAGTCAACTGCATCAAATTCCTGGGTGTGCAGCTCACGAGTAGGCTGGCTTGGTTGCTCAACAGTGAGACACATGTGAAGCGGGCACAGCAGCAGTGCCTGCGTTTTCTGCGTCGCATGAGAAAAACACATCTTCCTTCCTCTGTCCTCACCACTTTCTACAGAGGGATGATCGAAGCACGTCTTCCTTCCCCTGTCCTCACCACTTTCTACAGAGGGACGATCGAAGCACGTCTTTCCCCTGTCCTCACCACTTTCTACAGAGGGACGATCGAAGCACATCTTCCTTCTCATCCTCACCACTTTCTACAGAGGGACGATCGAAGCGCGTGTTCCCCTGTCCTCACCACTTTCTACAGAGGGACGATCGAAGCACGTCTTCCTTCCCCTGTCCTCACCACTTTCTACAGAGGGACAATAGAAGCGCGTCTTTCTTCCCCTGTCCTCACCATTTTCTACAGAGGAACGATCGAAGCACGTCTTCCTTCCCCTGTCNGTTTCACAGAGCGCGCTCTGCAAACGTCGTCGTGCTCAACAGACACGACACGACAATTGAGTCGCTTTTAGAGGCCATTCGCCAGGAGTTTGATGCAGAGGTCCCTGGAAACTCTGGGGAAGGGTCTTCTTCTTCTTCTAGTACCATTTTATTTTATTTTTTTTAAAAGGCGGGGATTATCCCAAGCCCTCGGAGAGAAGCCTGGAAAAGCCCGTAGCTGCTCAAATCTCGAGAAATAAACAAATAAACAATCTGGATGGTCCCCGAGGAGGACGGCTGAGCATCTTTACCATGCCAGCAAACCAGCCGACGGCTAAATTTCCCTTCTTGTCCCTACCCTGTGCTCCAGGACCTGAAAAGCGGGCAAACTTCCTATTTTACAAAAATATCTAGTCGCGTACAGTTAAAATAAACCCATGCGTACCGGTTTTCTTCCCCCCCACCTCGTCCCCCATTTTCCATAAAGCATTCCACAGTGTCACACAGTGAGATTCTTTTTTTCAAACTGTTACAAGTGCGTTTAGATCAGGGGTCGGCAACCGGCGGCCTACTGGCCCAATCTGGCCCACGGGCTAAAAAAAACCCAGGATAGCTGGGGAGAGGGGGTCAGTCCTGAGCCTCAGCCAAGCTCCTGGGGCCTGCTGGACACAAGGGTGGTCTTGGCGCCCGGGCCAGTGTCATCCAGTGGCTGCCGTGCCCCTTGCTTCGCAGACCTGCCAGCTACCCCTGCAGAGGCAGAGAAGGAGACAGGATTTGGCCCTCGAGATCACACGGTTGCTGACCCCTGCTAACTCGCAGCCAGGTTTGCTGGTGGATTTGAACCCTTCCCGTGCGCCTCCTGCAAACTTCCCGGAGCGTTCACCAACCAGTTGGAGAAGGAGCCGGCGTAGGTGACCGGCAAGGTTGAGTGTGTTTCCCACCCACCCCCCGCCCTCAGAGGAAAAAGACCCAGCGGTAGAACACGCAGACCGTAAGCATCAGGGTACAGTAAAAGGCAGCGAAAGCGCAAAGCTGAGTAGAGAGTAGCACCAGACTCGGCTCTTCGGAATCGGTGCCCAGAGAAAGGAGGGATTCGACAGTCCTTTGAATGCTGAGGTTTAGCTGGAGAATGTCAGAAGGGGAACACAGGCTGTCCTGTCCAGAGGGGCAGCAGGAAGGGAAAACAGACAGAAAACAAAATTAGTAGAAGCTTAAATCACTGGTAGGCATGCCGGACGGGGTGAAGCTGCCCAAGGTAAGCTTTTCGCCAGGTTGCAACCTTCCACTTTTGTCAACCGCCACTACGTATGCGTAGACGCGCCAGTAGCCCTTGACCTGTGAGCAAACTGAGCTCAAAATTCCCCTGGTTAAGCAAGACAGTTGCTAAGTGAGCTTGGCCCCATTCTGCAACCGGTCTTGCCACGGTCGTTAAGTGGATCACTGCAGTTGCCAAATTAAGGAATACGGTTGTCCCAATAGTTCTGAAGGAGCTTCTTGGCTGAGAAGCCAACCATCTTCAAGGAAAATCAAAGTCCAGTTGCCTTTTGAGAGAAAAAAAGCAGCTTTGGATGACTGAGAATCTCCGCAGACGTTTAGTAACCTGGTTGTTAAGTGAATCTGGCTTCCCCCGTTGTCTTTGCATGTGAGAAGATAGCAAAAGGGGATGAAAACGATGCACCCCCAAATCCACCAGTCAACTGCATCAAATTCCTGGGTGTGCAGCTAACAAGTAGGCTAGCTTGGTCGCTCAACAGCGAGACACATATGAAGCAGGCACAGCAGCGCCTGCGTTTTCTGCATCGCATGAGAAAAACACATCTTCCTTCCCCTGTCCTCACCACTTTCTACAGAGGGACGATCGAAGCGCGTCTTCCTTCCCCTGTCCTCACCACTTTCTACAGAGGGACGATCGAAGCACGTCTTCCTTCTCGTCCTCACCACTTTCTACAGAGGGACAATTGAAGCACGTCTTCCTTCTTGTCCTCACCATTTTCTACAGAGGGACGATCGAAACACGTCTTCCTTCCCCTGTCCTCACCACTTTCTACAGATGGACGATCGAAGCGCGTCTTCCTTCCCCTGTCCTCACCACTCTTTACAGAGGGACGATCGAAGCACGTCTTCCTTCCCCTGTCCTCACCACTCTCTACAGAGGGACGATCGAAGCACGTCTTCCTTCCCCTGTCCTCACCACTTTCTACAGATGGATGATCGAAGCACATCTTCCTTCCCCTGTCCTCACCACTTTCTACAGAGGGACGATCGAAGCGCGTCTTCCTCCCATCCTCACCACTTTCTACAGAGGGACGATCGAAGCGCGTCTTCCTTCCCCTGTCCTGACCACTTTCTACAGAGGGACGATCGAAGCGCGTCTTCCTTCTTGTCCTCACCACTTTCTACAGAGGGACAATCGAAGCACGTCTTCCTTCTCATCCTCACCACTTTCTACAGAGGGACGATCGAAGCGCGTCTTCCTTTCCCTGTCCACACCACTTTCTACAGAGGGACGATCGAAGCACGTCTTCCTTCCCCTGTCCTCACCACTTTCTACAGAGGGACGATCATACAGCATCAGTCTTGTTTGGAAGCATCCCTGCTTCGGACAGGAAGGCGGGGCAGAGAGTGGTGAGGACAGCAGAAATGGTTATTGGTAGTTCAGAGAGTGGTGAGGACAGCAGAAAAGATCATTGGCAATTCCCTCCCTCCCACCCAGGACATGGCACAGAAGTGTTGCTTGAGCAGGGTCCGCAAGATTGTCTGGCACACTACACACCCTCTTCACGACCTGTTTTCTTTGCTACCTTCTGGGAGAAGGGGGCTCCGTGGTATCCAAAGCAGAACATCCAGATTCAGTCACAGTTTTGTGCCATACAGTATCAACCTTGTGAACTCTCAAGCTTCCTCTTCCCGTTATGTATTCAAGATGGACAGAGATTAATATTTATATGTTACTTATAGGTAAGGGTGTAGGTCTATACATATGTTATCTATAGTATGTTTTTAAATGTGTGTTATGCATGTGTATACTTGAGAGCAAGCAACTAAATTTCATTTTTAATGTGTGCCATTGCGCCCACAGGAAAAAAATGACAATAAAGGTTATCATTATCATTATCATTAAAAGGCAGTTTTATGGCACGTGTTGGAAAAGCCCCTCTCCATCCAGGACTCTGGACAATGGAGAAAAAGTCTTTCAAAGCAGAGAAAAAGTCTTTCAAAGCAGAGCCACTGACCTATAACCATTCATTTAGTGACCGTTCAAAAGTTACAACGGCACTGAAAAAAATCAACTTGTGACTGTTTTTTACACTTCCGACCATTATAATATCCCTGTGGTCACACAATCCAAATTCGGATGCTTGGCGATTGGCTCATACTTATGACGTTCGCAGTGTTCCTGTGTGTGTGTATGTGTGTGTGTGTGTGTGTGTCTTGTGATCCCCTTCTGCAACCTTCCGACAAGCAAAGTCAACGGGGGGAGCCAGATTCACTTAAAGAAGCGTGTTACTACCTTAAGAACGGCAGTGACTCACTTAACGACCGTGGCAAGAAAGGTCGTAGAACAGGACGAAACTCACTCAACAACTGTCTGGCTTAGCAATGGAAGTTTTGGGCTCCACTGTGGTCCTAAGTCAAGCTGCCTCTTGCTCAAAGCAGTTGGGAAGAAGATTTTGGCTCCAAAATCTTTAGCAGAACTTGATCTCAGCTCCTTCCAGAATTGGGGCGATGCCGTGGGACAACCCAATTGGACCGGATTTTTATTATTATTATTATTATTGTTGTTGATGATAAAGTTGGAAGGGACCTTGGAGGTCATCTAGTCCAATCCCCTGCTCAAGCAGGAGACCCTATACAATTTGAGACAAGTAGCTGTCCAATCTTTGCTTAAAGACCTCCAGTGATGTAGCACCCACACCTTCTGGAGGCAGGTTGTTCCACTGGTTAATTGTTCTCACTGTCAGGAAGTTTCTCCTTAGTTCTAGGTTGCTTCTCTCCTTGGTGAGTTTCCATCCCTTGCTTCTTGTCCTGCCTTCAGGCGCTTTGGAGAATATGGAATTTATGCCTATGGAATTCAGGGCTCCCCGGTGTTCACCCCCAACCCAGTTGCAATTGGGAGAAATCTTACTTGGGCAGCTTCAGGCTGGGTCTTCTGAATTGCTCCCTGGGATTGTCCCCGCGACTTTTGTCCAAACCCCTGACGCTCATGAAAGCCTGAGAGACCAGGAGGAATTCAGAAGACCATAAAATCGGAGTAGGTTAGTTTTCCATGCACTGCATTTTTATTTATTTTTTTGGTCAGGAGAACAACCTTCTGTTCACAGGGAGCGTAAGATGCGAAAGAAAGATTACAAACAGGATCCTCGGGCTGGCGAGATCTAATTTCACTCGGTTATTTTGACCATTGATTCAGGACAGGGCGCTGACATTGCACCTCAAAGGCATTCTGCCCTGCCTTGACTTTGTGGCTTGTCAGGGGTGTTGGATTACAACTCCCATCATCCGTCTCCAGCATGGCCAAATGCTCTCTTGGCTGGGGACAATGGGAACAGTAGTCTTAAGATGCCCTCCCAAGTAACAGAGATGTGACTGAATAGGCCAGGAGCGCCATACTTTTCCTGTTTTGTTTTTTTCCCTCCTTTCGTACCTGCTACTGAATTTATTTTGATGCATGGATGTACCATTTTGGGGTGTATTCCATTCTGAATTAGGGCCGTGAACCAGGGGTTCTTGGGAGATTTTAAAGACAACAAACCCCACATTCCTTTCTAGCACTGATGATGTTGCCTAGTTGGGTCATGAAACACCTGCAAGAAAACCACCCAGCTCGGAGAGCACCCAGGACCCCACAGTCCTCCTCCTCCTCCTCCCTCATTCTAGCACTGATGATGTTGCCTAGTTGGGTCATGAAACGCCTGCAAGAAAACCACCCAGCTCGGAAAGCACCCAGGACCCCACAGTCCTCCCCCCCCCCCGTCCTCTCCGCATACCCCTCTCCCTTCTAGCACTGATGATGTTGCCTAGTTGGGTCATGAAACGTCTGCAAGAAAACAACCCAGCTCGGAGAGCACCAAGGACCCCATAATTGTTGTCATCATTGTCCTCCTCCATCTCCATCTCCTTCTCCTCCCTGCATACCCCTCTCCCTTCTAGCACTGATGATGTTCCCTAGTTGGGTCATGAAACTTCTGCAAGAAAATCACCCAACTCAGAGAGCACTAAGGACCCCACAGTCCTCCTCCCTGTAAACTCCACCTTCCCCCCCCCCCTCCTCCTCCACTCTGCACATCCCACTCCCTTTCTAACCCTGATGATGTTACCTAGCTGGGTAATGTAATGTCTGCAAGAAAGCAACCAAGATCAGAGAGCACCAGAGATCCCACGGCTATCCGAAAGGTTGGCCCTGTGACATAAGCCCCCACAGTAGGAAGAGAAATTGGAAGCCTTCCCGTCGTACCTGAGGCACCCCTATTTTTCGACAGGCTTCCAGGAAATTTTCCACATTCCGCCGACACTTGGCCATGGTTAATTTAGGCTGCAGAAGGGAGAAAGAAGAAACATGGCGTTCACCACCAGCAGTAGCATTTGTTAGTCAAGGGAAGTGACGGCAGACCTATCACAGGGGTGTCGAAGGTGACAAGGTTTGGGAAGACACACCACATCAGCACAGACAGTTCTCCGAAACATGCTCTGTTCTTGTGCACATTGGGGGGCGGGGGCTGCACGAGAATGGGATGTGCTCTGAGGCCATCGTCAAAAATGGAATTTTTTTTATTACGTGCATTTCGTTTTTGCAATGATTTGACGTGGCTTTATACATATTATTTAATATGTATACGTAAATACGTATTTATTTTTTTTAAAAATACAGCCCAATCAGGCCTATACGGAGTGTATTTTTTTTAAATAAATGAGCATGTGAAGAATTGTTTTGTTTCTCTTTCGTTTAGACCCGCCAGGAGTGTCAAATGAGGAACTTTTGGATATTTTTACACGCCAAGCCCCAAAGGTTTGCCATCACTGATGTATGGTCACACAAACATACACACACACACACACACACAAATCAGGCGAGTTTGGTAGCTAGGTCTTCCTTAATAAATGAAAAACAATGAGACGAGGGATACTGGTTAAGATTTTTGCACGTATCTTCGATGTCAGGCAAATAATTTTGATTTTGCAGACGGCCCTGGCAGGGTCTTGCAGGACACTCCCCCCCCCGCCAAAAAAAGTTACCCAGACGACACTTTAAGAAGCGCTGCATTAGAGGAAGTGAGCTACAGCTCCTGAAAGTTTATGCCCTTAAATCACACTTGTGAGGTGGAAAACGTGCTACCAGACTCCTGATTTTTTTTTCATCCATAGCAATCCCGGATTCAGACATCTTGAAAGCAGAGTTAGGAATCTACCATCCTGGGAAAGACTTAAACTTCAAGGGAGCCTCTTTGCAGAGAAAGAGCAGCAGCAAACGGGAGTATAAATATATTTTCGCTATAGATTTTTAGCTTTCTTTCTTTCCTTCCTTCCTTCCTTTTTTTCTATTCTATTCTATTCTATTCTATTCTATTCTATTCTATTCTATTCTATTCTATTCTATTCCATATTTTTTCTTCTCTTCCATTCCATTCCATTCCATTCCATTCCTTTTCTCTATTCTATTCTATTCCATTCCATTCATTTTCTCTATTCTATTCTATTTTCTCTATTCTATTCTATTCATTTTCTATATTCCATTCCATTCCGTTCCGTTCCGTTCCATTCAATTCTTTCTCTATTCTGTTCTTTTGTTGTTCTGTTCTGTTCTGTTCTATTCTATTCATTTTCTATATTTTAATCTATCTATTCTATTCATTTTCTATATTCTATTCTATTCTATTCTATTCATTTTCTATATTCCATTCCATTCCATTCCATTCCATTTCTCTCTTCTATTCTATTCTATTCTATTCTATTCTATTCTATTCTATTCTATTCTATTCATTTTCTATATTTTTTATATTCTATTCATTTTCTATATTCTAATCTATTCTATTCATTTTCTATATTCTATTCTATTCTATATTTTCTATATTCTATTCATTTTCTATATTCTAATTTATTCCATTCCATTTCTCTCTTCTATTCTATTCTATTCTATTCTATTCTATTCTATTCTATTCTATTCTATTCTATTCTATTCTTTCTCATTATTCTATTCCATTCCATTCCCTTATTCTATTCTATTCCATTCTATATTTTCTATACTATTCATTTTCTATATTCTAATCTATTCTATTCATTTTCTCTATTCTATTCTATTCTATTCTATTCTATTCTATTCTATTCTATTTTTCTATATTCTATTCATTTTCTATATTCTAATCTATTCTATTCATTTTCTCTATTCTATTCTATTCTATTCTATTCTATTCTATTCTATTCTATTCTATTCTATTCTATTCTATTCTATTCTATTCTTTCTCTATTCTATTCATTTTCTATATTCTATTCCATTCCATTCTATTCGTTATATGATGCTTGTTCTTTATTTTCCACTTTTTAAATCTGCTTCCTGCTTGTTTTACCTTTCTCTCCTTACCACCCTCTGAGGGCTTTTCAAGACAGCAGCTGAGTAAAATCCCCAGGACAGGGAAAGAGGCATCAAAGCCAGGGCTCCCAAACAGACCCAAGAGGTCCCACCGGGATACTTACGACAGCTGGCGAGGGCACGTGGATGCTGGGGACGGAACGAGGCCGCACGTGGTTGGCTAAATGGCAAAGCACCACGCCGTCCATCAGGGCTGCGCTGAGATCGTTCGGCAAAGACACTTTCAACCGAGATTCAATATTCTGAGGGAAAAAAAACAGAGGCCAGAATGATTGCTAAAAGTAAAGTAGGTTAAGTCCTTTACAGGGAGTCCTTGACTTCATTTAGTGACTGTTCTCAGTTACAACAGCACTGGGAAAAGTGGCTTATGACCGTTTCCCACGCTTATGACCGTCGCAGCATCCCCGTGGTCACATGATCAAGATTTGGGTGGTTGGCAACCTGTACGTCTTCATGACGGTTCGCACAGTGTCCCGGCGGGGTGGGGGGTGGAACGCGGTCCCCTTTGGCCACCTTCAGACAAGCGAAGTCAATAGGCACGCCAGATTCGTTTAACGACCGAGTGACTAGCTTTACAACCACAGTGATTCCCTTAACAACTGTGGCCTGGAAAGCTGTAAAATGGGGCCAAGCTCACTTAAGAAACTGTCGTGCTTAGCAACTTCAGGCTCAATTGTAAGTCGTCGTCATCATCATCATCATCATCATCATCATCATCATCATCATAAAGTTGGAAGGGACCTTGGAGGTCATCTAATCCAACCCCCTGCTCAGGCAGGAAACCCTATATCATTTCGGACAAAGGGCTGTCCAGTCTCTTCTTAAAAACTTCCAGTGTTGGAGCATTCACCGCTTCTGGAGGCAGGTGGTTCCACTGGTTAATTGTTCTAACTGTCAGGAAGTTTCTCCTTAGTTCTAGGTTGCTTCTCTCCTTGGTTAGTTTCCATCCGTTGCTTCTTGTCCTGCCTTCAGGGGCTTTGGAGAATAGCTTGACTCCCTCTTCTTTGGGGCAGCCCCTGGAACACTGCTAAAAGTCGAGGAATACCTGTATAGGGTCTGCTGGAGCAGGGGTTTGGATTAGAAGAACTTCTCCTCAGCCAGAATAGCTGGCTGGGGAATTCTGGGAGTTGAAGTCCTTGCCTCATAAAGCAGCTGAGATTGAGAAATGCTGGTTTAGCGTGATGGGAGAAGACATATTAGGTTTCAAACCCTTTTATTCCTCACTCAGCTTTGGACCTCACCGTAAAACCTGCCACACTGTCTGCTCCAACAAAAGAGCGTGTCTTCAACGCAACCCAGCTACGTACTTTTCGCAGTTGCTCTATCACCAAAACATCTTCTTCCTGCAGGGTGGAATCATGGTTATCGGCGATGTCATCTGAGCAATTAACCGGAGTTGATGCAGAAGCCGGCAGCGCCGTCACGGCTAAAAAAAGGCAAAATTATCGCCGTTAACACTCCACACACCAATCGCTATCGCTACCACTATAATAGGGCAGACACGTTAATAGTACAGGGGGGTCCTTGACGTAAAACAGCTTGTTTAGTGACTGTCCGAAGTTACAACTGCTTTGAAAAAAGGGACTGGTGGTCAATTTTCACACTCAGCGACCGATGCTGCATCCCCAGGGTCACATCCTCAAAATTCAGACGCTTGGCCACTGACTCGTATTTATGACGGTCGCAGTGTCCCAGGGAGGTCACGTGGTTCCCTTTTGTGACTTCCTGACAAGCAAAGTCAATGGGGGGAAGCCGGATTCACTTAATGACCATGTGACTAGCTTAACAACAGCAGCGATTCACTGAACGGCGGTGGCCAGAAAGGTCGTAAAATGAGACAAAACTCACTTTACAAATGTCTCAGCAACAGAAAGTTTGGGCTCAACTGTGGTCACAATTCGAGAGCCGTCAGTACACTTTAGTGTCCTGTTCAATGAAGGAGCTTCGAAAATGTTCACTATTGATCTAGGCCAGGGGTCTTCAAACTTGGCCCTTTTATGACTTGTGGACTTCAACTCCCAGAATTCCTCAGCCAGCCTCCATTTTGTTTGTTAGATTTAAGACGGGGGTCTTCAAACTTGGCCCTTTTATGACTGGTGGACTTCAACTCCCAGAATTCCTCAGCCAGGCACGACCCCTGTCTTAAATCTAAACAAACAAAATGGAGGCTGGCTGAGGAATTCTGGGAGTTGAAGTCCACCAGTCATAAAAGGGCCAAGTTTGAAGACCCCCGTCTTAAATCTAACAAACAAAATGGAGGCTGGCTGAGGAATTCTGGGAGTTGAAGTCCACAAGTCATAAAAGGGCCATGTTCGAAGACCCCTGTCTTAAATCTAACAAACAAAATGGAGGCTGGCTGAGGAATTCTGGGAGTTGAAGTCCACCAGTCATAAAAGGGCCAAGTTTGAAGATTCCTGTCTTAAATCTAATGAACAAAATGGAGGCTGGCTGAGGAATTCTCGGAATTGAAGTCCACCAGTCATAAAAGGGCCAAGTTTGAAGACCCCCGTCTTAAATCTAACAAACAAAATGGAGGCTGGCTGAGGAATTCTGGGAGTTGAAGTCCACCAGTCATAAAAGGGCCAAGTTTGAAGACCCCCATCTTTAATCTAACAAACAAAATGGAGGCTGGCTGAGGAATTCTGGGAGTTGAAGTCCACCAGTCATAAAAGGGCCATGTTCGAAGACCCCCGTCTTAAATCTAACGAACAAAATGGAGGCTGGCTGAGGAATTCTCAGAATTGAAGTCCACCAGTCATAAAAGGGCCAAGTTTGAAGACCCCCGTCTTAAATCTAACAAACAAAATGGAGGCTGGCTGAGGAATTCTGGGAGTTGAAGTTCACCAGTCATAAAAGGGCCAGGTTTGAAGACCCCTGGCCTAGATCAGTGTTTTTCAACTTTTAAGATCTGTGGACTTCAATCAGCAGCTGAAATCCACATTTTTTTCATTCATGCACGACTGCTCTTATTTGACTGTTGGCAGCTAATTTTAAGTGTCCCACTTTGGGACCGAGCATCGTAAAGGGACACAGCTTGGGCCCCACCGTGCAACCCAGAGGCTGGCCCCGCTCGAGCTGTTGGGCTTACCTCTGTTTGCTTCCTCCCTGGTAGCATTTCGGAAAAGGAAGCTTTCGGGACGCTGGGGAGTCCCTCTGTAGGAAGGAGGGGCGGCTGGGCCAGGGTATGGGGCAGAGAGGTGAACTAAAGGGAGAAGTGGAAGGATGCAAAGGGGTGGAGGGGTGGAGGAGGAGAAAGGCAAAATCCTTATTATTACAATTTAAACAAAGAGAATCAAAGTAAAGGAAGTCCTAGAGTTAAAAACGTTTAGCGACCGTTCAAAGTTATAACAGATTTAAAACTGGTCCTCACATTTAGGACTGTTGCAGCACTCCGCCCCCCCCCCAGTGGACCACGCAATCGAGATTTGGACGCTCGGCAACTCGCATGTATTTACAATGGTTGCAGTCCCAGAGTCATGTGATCATCACCATTTGTAACCTTCCCAGAGAGCATGAAAGCCAGCCGGGTGACTTTGGGATAATAACTAGGAGACAGTGAGTTCTAGTCCTGCCTTAGAGATGAAAGTCAGCCGGGTGACTCTGGGACAGTCACTAGGAGACAGTGAGTTCTAGTCCTGCCTTAGGGATGAAAGTCAGCCGGGTGACTCTGGGACAATCACTAGGAGACAGTGAGTTCTAGTCCTGCCTTAGAGATGAAAGTCAGCAGGGTGACTCTGGGACAGTCACTAGGAGACAGTGAGTTCTAGTCCTGCCTTAGAGATGAAAGCCAGCCGGGTGACTCTGGGACAGTCACTAGGAGACAGTGAGTTCTAGTCCTGCCTTAGAGATGAAAGCCAGCCGGGTGACTCTGGGACAGTCACTAGGAGACAGCGAGTTCTAATCCTGCCTTAGGGATGAAAGCCAGCCGGGTGACTCTGGGACAGTCACTAGGAGACAGCGAGTTCTAGTCCTGCCTTAGGGATGAAAGCCAGCCGGGTGACTCTGGGACAGTCACTAGGAGACAGTGAGTTCTAGTCCTGTCTTAGGGAATGAAAGCAAGCTAGGTGACTTTGGGCCAGCCCTTTCTCTCTCAGCCCATGCCAACTCACAGGGTTGTCATTGTGGGAAAAATAGGAGGAAAAAGGACTGTTAGGAATGCGTGTTGCCTGGACTCAATTATTAAGATATAAAGGCAGGATAAAAATCAATAAATTAAATGAAATTAAATCAAATCATAGAATTAAATAAAATCACAAATTAAAATCATAAATAAAACAAAATAAAATAACACAAAGTAAAACAAAGTAAAATAAATAGACTAAATCAGGAGTAGGCAACCGTGGCTCTTTTATGACTCGTGGACTTCAACTCCCAGAATTCCTGAGCCAGCCTTGCTGAGGAGAAAGGGAGAGGTTTCCAAGCTGAGCCATGCTGGCTCAGGAATTCTGGGAGTTGAAGTCCGTGAGTCATGAAGGGGCCATAGTTCCCCCATGCTGGCTGAGGAATTCTGGGAGTTGAAGTCCACGAGTCATGAAGGGGCCATAGTTCCCTCATGCTGGCTCAGGAATTCTGGGAGTTGAAGTCCACCAGTCATAAAAGAGCCAAGGTTGCCTACCCCTGGACTAGACTAGACTAGACTGAAGTAATAAAATAAATAAACTAACCAGGAGGCATTTGGAAACCAGAAATGCTGGGTGGCTGGGGACTACTTTGATTTCAAGGGACAGGCAGTCACAGATACGTTGTGATTGCCGTTTTAGGTAGCCATCCCTGAAGGTTATGGGAGATAAGCTCAGCTACAAGTGTCCTCAGCCAGAATGGTAGTCCACCCTGCCCACCCTTATTTACTGGGCTGTCTCCTGCTAAGTCGCAAGGTTAATGCAGAAATGTAACCACCCCACCCAAGGCCTAGCGATGGACAATTTCATTATTATCATCTGGACAAGATCCAGAATTCCGACAAGGACTTTCTGCTGTTGGCCCCTTCCTTGTTTACCTGTTTGAGAAGTGGGTGAATTCGGTGAGATGGTGGATCGGTCCTCGCTCTGTGGATCGAAGCGAGAGAGAGAGAGAAGTGAAGCTCTCAAGAAATTCAGCTGACACTCAAATGCAGAATAGCAAGAATATCATTTTGGGAAAGATAAAAGTAGTGTGCAGATTCTCTGGAGAGAAAAAAAGGACATTGTCTAAAGAAATTGTCCCAAAGAAGGAGCCAATACTTTGGGTAGTTTAATAATGGAGAGCAACGTCCCCCTTCTATTGAATGTAGAGCAGGGGTAGTCAACTTTGGCTCTTTTATGGCTCGTGGACTTCAATTCCCAGAATTCCTGAGCCAGCTTAGCTGGCTCAGGAATTCTGGGAGTTGAAGTCCACGAGTCATAAAAGAGCCAAGGTTGACTACCCCTGATGTAGAGGAACAAAAGCCACGATAGAAAAGAGCATCTGCTAAGCCAGCCAGAGAAAAAGCAGGTCCTAATTACCGCACGCGAGAAAAAAATAAATAAAAATAAAGCAGAAACGTTGACGGTGTACAAAGCGTTCACCAAAGCCAAAGAAAACACTTTTGAGACAGTTTGGGTTTGAAAATGAACTCCGCCATTTCTTTTAGAGACTTACAAAATCATGACAAGATGTCAGCTGACCTTCCTTCCCAGCGGGATGACGTAATTTTAAAAATAATTTTAAGAGTTCAACAGCAAACGTACACACCAACCTTCCTCAACCTGATAAATCTCCAGATGTGCAGAACTACAACTCCCATTACTCCTGGTCAAGGTTGACTTGGCTGGGGCTGATGGGAGCTGTAATCCAAGGTGCCAAATTGGAGGAGGGATAAAGGGTCTACCGATATTTCTTTATTGCAGAATTGTCTATCCCTAATTCTAAACTTTGGGCCCAGTTTTGGGAAAAGCAAAGCCCATCCATTCTGCTCAACCTGGCGGTGGGAACTACAGTGTGGCTCCTTTATGACTTGTGGACTTCAACTCCCAGAATTCCTGGCTGGCTCAGGAATTCTGGGAATTGAAGTCCACAAGTCATAAAAGGGCCAGAGTTCCCCACCCGAGCTAACCAACCATCCCTTCTAATCAGAAACATAGAAATTATTAAGGGAGAGCCGGTCATAAATACTGTCATCTTACAACAGTTCTTTTAAGGATTGATCGGCATTGAAAAAAGTAATAATAATAATATAACTGGAAGGGACTTGGAGGTCATCTAGTCCAACCCCCTGCTTCTGGAGGCAGGTGGTTCCACTGGTTAATTGTTCTAACTGTCAACAAATGTCTCCTTAGTTCTAGGTTGCTTTTCTCCTTGATTAGTGTCCATCCGTTGCTTCTTAATAATAATAATAATAAAGTTGGAAGGGACCTTGGAGGTCATCTAGTCCAACCACCTGCTCAGGCAGGAAACTCTATACCATTTCAGACAAATGGCTGTCCAGTCTCTTCTTAAAAACTTCCAGTGTTGGAGCATTGGAAGTGACTGATCACCCATTTTCACACTTACCACGGTGGCAGCCTCCCCCGTGGTCACATGATCAGAATTTGACTGTTTGGCAACCGTTTCATATTTACAACGGTTGCTGTGTCCCAGGGTCAATGTGATGATCCCCTTCTTGTGACCTTCTGACAAGCAAAGTCAACGGGGGAAGCCAGATTCACTTAAACAGCCGTGTTTACAACTTAACAAATGCAGTGATTCACTTAACAACCGTGGTGAGGAAGGTCGTAAAATGGGGCAAAGTTGACTACACAACTGTCTTGGTTAGCGACGGAAATTTTGGGCTCAGTTGTGGTCGTAAGCCGAGGACTCCCTGTGCTTCTTCATTTCACCATCATGAAGCAAAATCTGAACCCGGCGTAATTTAAAACATCGCTCTGCTCACTTCCAAGCAGATTACTGAGGTAAATTTTTGATCCTTTCGGCACGGGACACCTTCCTGCCTCGGATTTTTTTTAATTTAGAAAACCTGGAACCTGTACAGGTAGTCCTCGACTTACGACAGTTTGCTTAGTGACCATTCAAAGTGACAACGGCACTAAAAAAGGACCAATTTTTAACACTTCTGACCGTTGCAGCCTCCCCCGTGGTCACCTGATTTACATTCGGATGCTGGAGAGCCGACTCACATTTGTGACGGTTGCCGTATCCCAGGGTCACGTGATCCCCTTTTGCAACCTTCTGACAAACCAAGTTAATGGGGGAATCCAGGTTCGCTTAACGCCCGTGTGACTAATTTAACAACTGCGATTCGCTTAGCAACGGTGGCAAGAAAAGTCGTAAAACAGGACAAAACTCACTTAGCAACAGAAATTTTGGGCTCAACTGTGTAAGTCGAGGACTGCCTGTGTTCTTTGCAATGAGGGCTGACCTGGAGTAACATGACCCGGGGTGGAGCTGTACCAATTTTACTCTGGCAGTTTTTCTATGGTACCGGCAGCAGCCATGGGGCAGGGCCGGAAAACCCCCATTCGACATTCAAGTGCGCGACGTTTAAATCCATCTTCAGCCCTTTCACTTCCCCCTCTTGTGCGTGTACAAAAACACACACTCCCAAACCACCGAAATATAATTTTTTTATCCTACTTTATCTACATTTTAAATGACGGCATTCTATTCCAGTTTCATTGTATTTTATTCCAATGTCGTTTTACATTGTATCTTGTCTAATTCCGCTTTAAATTGCTTTTATCAAATTTTAGTTCATAATTTGCTTCTGGAACTTTGCACTTTGAGATGGCCCAAGGGCCGATCAATCAATCGATCAATCAATCGATCAAAGTGACCGTCCACCCACTCCCAAACTTTAGTCCCCAGCAGACTGACGGCAATGCCGTTTTGCACAACTCGAGAAAGACAAGAGTTGATTGCAGCTAAAAGCACCAGGTGCTTCCAAAACAGTAGTTTTAGCCACCGCCACAATTCTACAACAGGCAACTAGAAAGCCTGCTGTGAAACTTGAGTGTGGAGGGAAGCGACTAAACCCACAACTTTTATTTTGGTGCACATAAAGGGTGGAATGTGGAGCTGGCTGCAAGAACCAGGGTAGTTTCATATAGCCGGCTTCTCGGATCTGGTTTCGGGCCATTTCCTTAACCCGAGAGCTAAAATCATTGTTTAGAGCTGGACAAACGTCTTGGCTGGCCAGGCCCTGTGATGTAAGAAGGGAAGTGGGAAACAAAGGCCGGCCACACAATAATCCATTATGCTGGGAAAGCCCTGCCCCCACCCCCACCCCCCGCAGAAAAGGGCCAAGAGATTGAAAGCAATCCGAAAAACTGGTGCTGGGAAGAGCTGGAATTGCCCAAGTCCCGTCTGCAACGAGACCATTTGAAAAACAAAAGTTAAACTTTGGTTTGGCGATTAAGGTGCTGGCTTAGAAACCAGGAGACTGAGAATTCTGGTCTTGCCTTAGGCATGAAAGCCGGCTAGGTGACCTTGGGCCAATCACCAGGAGACGGGGAGTTCTAGTCCCGCCTTAGGCATGAAAAGCGGCTGGGTGACTTTGGGCCAATCGCCAGGAGACGGGGAGTTCTAGTCCCCCACTTAGGCATTAAAGCCAGCTGGGTGACTTTGGGCCAACCACCAGGAAACTGTGAGTTCTAGTCCCGCCTTAGGCATGAAAGCCGGCTAGGTGACCTTGGGCCAATCACCAGGAGACAGTGAGTTCTAGTCCTGCCTTAAGCATGAAAAGCGGCTGGGTGACTTTGGGCCAATTGCCAGGAGATGGGGAGTTCTAGTCCCGCCTTAAGCACGAAAAGCGGCTGTATGACTTGGGCCAATCCCCAGGAGACGGTGAGTTCTAGTCCCGCCTTAGGCATGAAAGCGGGCTGGGTGACTTTGGGCCAATCGCCAGGAGACAGTGAGTTCTAGTCCTGCCTTAGGCATAATAGCCAGCTGGGTGACTCAAAGGCACACAAACACACTTATGCACTGTTTGTTACTATATCTAAAATGGTTGGTTGCAGTCAGACAGATATTTAGACTGGATTTGGCTTTTTTGTCCACCTATCGAGCCGTTCCAAAGGACCTGGAAGAGGCAGATGTTGATGTCTGATGGGGATCAAAGTATCACGGCAAAATGGAAGCTGCTCCAAGCCAAGCTGCCTTTTGCAACTGACCAATGGCGGCTTCATCAATGCCGGTGGTGTTCAAGTGGTGCTCCAGATGTTTTGGGATTGCGCCTAAGCTGTCTATCGCTATTGTTACTACCTTTGTTTTCTTTTGCAGTCACTATTATTATTATTGATATGTGTTTATGTTGTATGTCACCCAGAGTCACTTGGTCTGAATTGGGGCAGCCTTATAAGAAAGAAGGAAGGAAGGAAGGAAGGAAGGAAGGGAAAGGAAAGGAAAGGAAGGAAGGAAGGAAGGAAGGAAGGAAGGAAGGAAGGAAGGAAGGAAGGAAGGAAGGAAGGAAGGAAGGAAGGAAGGAAGGAAGGAAGGAAGGAAGGAAGGAAGGAAGGAAGGAAGGAAGGAAGGAAGGAAGGAAGGAAGAAAGAAAAAGGGGAGGACAGAAAGAAGAAAGAGGGAGGAAAAAAGAAAGAGAGGGGAGGGGAGGGGAGGAAAGGAAGGAGAGCAGAAAGTAAGAGATAGGGAGGAAGAGAAAGAGAGAGAGAGAGAGAGAAAGAAAGAAAGAAAGAAAGAAAGAAGAAAAGAAGGAAAGAAAGAAAGAAAGAAAGAAAGAAAGAAAGAAAGAAAGAAAGAAAGAAAGAAAGAAAGAAAGAAGGGAGGAAGGGAGGGAGGGAGGGAGGAAGATGGCAATGAATTGTAATGTATCTTCTTTCTTAATTCAGTGGACTATAGTGGATTGCATGAGTCTTATGGTGCAAATTGGCTTCACTTTTCCTAAGTATGATTAAGATTTAAAATGCTATCCAGCTGAATCGGGGCTAAGACTAAACCGGCATTCTGTCAACTCAGATTTGAAATGATTTCTCCAACCTCTTTCTACTTCTGCAAGAAAGAAATACAGAGCTGCCTCGCGGGATGAGAAGGTTATTTGGACGGTTCCTTTCTTTCCAGGATCAGGCTGAGATGTCTGAGCTGACAACAGGAAGCCTTTCAGTGAAGAGGAGACAAAAACACACAACACAACACAACACAGAACGCATGCAAGCCGTAAACATGCAGGAGCAAGCAGATCAGCAAAGAAACTAGATTTCAGCAGCTATGTTTAAGATGCCAAAGGATCTATCTCTAAAGGAGGACGGAAATAGCATAAAACATGGAAACAGGGTTACGTGAAAAGTGGACAATCTTTAAAACGGGATCTGGATTAGAGGAGTGACATCACTAATTGAAACCGATTTAAACCAAGGGTTTAGTCTTCATTAGGGAGACTTGATCACCAAAACTGGTGATCAACATTAATGGTTGGAATGACTTTTACAAACACACACACACACGAAACTTAACAATAAAAAATAGAGAGAGCGGTGTTTCTCAACCTTGGCTGTTTGAAAATAAACGTCTGGACTTCAATTCCCAGAATTCTCTGGCCAGCCTTGCTGCTAGGGAATCCTGGGAGTTGATGTCCACCCTTCATAAACAACCAGGCTTGAGACACACATTCAACACAAAGAGAATCCAAATCTACCTTGCCTTGTCACAATCATGGAAAGCTTTTCACAATAATAGATGGGTATCCATTTACACTTGACTCCCTGGGCCAAATTTTGGCAGAATAAACGAAATCTATTGGACATTTGTCTGTTTGTTACTGGCGTGCAAAATGTTTTTTTTAAAATTGCTTTGTGCCCATATATATATTTGAAACAACTGCTTCAACCTTGACAGGGGTATCCCAATGAGATTGTCACCGCTCTAGAAGTGGGTGTTACTTTTTTTTTGTTAATTTATTAAATTTATACGCCGCCCATCTCATCGATAAAAGCGACTCTAGGAGATCTGAGCTCAAAAACACTCATGGGATGGTCAGAGAGCCCATTTCAAGCTCAAAAAGCTTTGCATTTGGAAAAAAAACCTAAGTATATTCTTAGTGCTTGTAATGAATTGGTTATCCACCAATTGTCTATTCCAGGGGTAGGCAACCTTGGCTCTTTTATGGCTGGTGGACTTCAACTCCCAGAATTCCTGAGCCAGCCATGCTGAGGGGAAAGAGAGAGGTTTCCAAGCTGAGCCATGCTGGCTCAGGAATTCTGGGAGTTGAAGTCCACCAGATGAAGGGGCCGTAGTTCCCCCATGCTGGCTGAGGAATTCTGGGAGTTGAAGTCCACCAGATGAAGGGGCCATAGTTCCCCCATGCTGGCTCAGGAATTCTGGGAGTTGAAGTCCACGAGTCATGAAGGGGCCATAGTTCCCCCTTGCTGGCTCAGGAATCTGGGTTCGGGTGGAGTGACTCAACTTTACGGCCTCAACGACTTGCAACTGAAATATCCCCGGGGTTCAAATGTGGCCGTTAAGGCGAGGACTGCCTGTATAGAGACAAAAAACGTCTCTCTCAATCCTCTTCCAGACTCCCAAATCACGATAGGGAGAAAAGCTAAGAAGAAAGTATAGGGTTTCCTCCCTGAGCAGGGGGTTGGACTAGATGACCTCCAAGATCGCTTCCAACTTATTATTATTATTATTATTATTATTGTTGTTGTTGTTGTTGTTGTTGTTGTTGTTGTTATTGATCATCGCACAGTCAGCCAGATGTTCAGACTGGATTTGGCATTTTTGTCTGCCTATCGAGTCCTTCCCAAGGACCTGGGATAGGCAGATGTGGATGTTTGATGGTATTACGGATCTCGTTGCAGGATGGAAGCAGTTCCTTATTATTATTATTATTATTATTATTATTATTATTATTATTATTATTATTATTATTATTATTATTATTATCAGGGAACGCTGGCTGCAACCAGCTCTATAATCATGATTTGCCAGAAAGATGTGATTGGGAAAAGGAAGGGCAGCCATGTTTTATGCTATTTTGGGGGGGGGGGTTGCTGCCTCCTCCGAACCCAGGCTACCAAGACATGCGAATTCGGCTCTCAGAGGCCGACACACAAGCAGGCTACGGCGTGCAGGATTCTTACCACCAGCAAGGCACTGTCATCAGTGTGCTGACACCTTCGGGATGGAAAGGGGCACTGGGGACGTGGGAGAGATGTTCGGGTCAGTAACAGAGAACACCACAACACCGTACGCAGACAAGCACAGACGTCTGGAACGAACGAGGCTTTTTATGCGGAAAGCACAGGGCGCTTCCTCAGCAAAGTACAAAGGAAGCCGGAATTTGGGAGAAGGGGGAACCCTCTTTAATAAATGTAAGGTTCTACACTTAGGCAAGAAAAACCAAATATACAGGTGTAGTATAGGGGGTACCTTGCTCAATAGTAGTAACTGTGAGAGGGATCTGGGAGTCTTAGTGGACAATCCCTTAAATAGGAGCCAGCCGTGTGCGGCAGCTGCCAAAAAAGCCAACACAGTGCTGGGCTGCGTCAATAGAGGGATAGAATCAAGATCACGTGAAGTATTAATACCACTTTACAAGGCCTTGGTAAGGCCACACTTGGAATCCTGCATCCAGTTTTGGTCACCACGATGTAAAAAAAGATGTTGAGACTCTAGAAATAGTGCAGAGAAGAGCAACAAAGATGATCAGGGGACTGGAGGCTAAAGCATACAAGGAACGGCTGCTGGAATTGGGGATGTCTAGTTTAATGAAGGATGAGGGGGGGGACATGACAGCCGTGTTCCAATATCTCAGGGGCTGCCCAAAGAAGAGGGAGTCAAGCTTCTTTGTGGCAGCCCCTCAAATATTGGAAGGCTGCTATCGTGTCCCCCCCAGTCCTTCTTTTCTCTAGACTGGCCGAACCCAAATCCTGCAACCGTTCTTTCTATGTTTTAGTCTCCAGGTCTTTAGTCATCTGAGTTGCTCTTCTCTGCACTTTTTCCAAAGTCGTGACGTAATATTTAGGAAAGAAACACAAGACACAGTTGGGAGGCACAGAAACAACCATGAAAAGAAAAAACAGGACGACTGAAACCAGAATGGAAGGGTAAAGATGTGATCTATCACCTCATGATGCCAAAACTATTTTGCATTAGTAAAACATTTTTTTTAAAAAAACTGTGTTCAAAAACGTATTGCAGGCAAAAAGCAAATGTCAAATGGGGAGAGACTGGAATGAGAACCAACTGACAGATCAGCCTTGAGCGCTTGGAAGCTTTCAAGCGCACCGTGGCTTGCAAAATTCAGAGGAGAGCACATGCTTGTGAGGCAGGTGTGTTCCGAAGCAAGTGCGTGTGCAGGGCAGGTGCAACAATACCAAGCAGAGCCAGGCTTTTCAATTGTGCCACTAGGTGAGAATATTGGTAGCTCAGGGTTCAACTGGGGGGGGGGGGGTCCTGGGTGCTCTCTGAGCTGGGTGGTTTTCCGGCAGACGTTTCATGACCCAGCTAGGTAACGTCATCAGTGCTGGAAGGGAGTGGGGTTTGAGGAAGAGGAGGAGGAGGACTGTGGGGTCCTGGGTGCTCTCTGGGAGGTTTTCTTGCAGATGTTTCATTGCCCAACTAGGTAACAACATCAGTGCAAGAAGGGAGTGGGGTTTGCTGGGAGGAGGAGGAGAGGAGGAGGAGGAGGAGGAGAACGACTGTGGGGTCTCTGAGCTGGGTTGTTTTCTTGCAGACGTTTCACGACCCAATTAGGGAACGTCATCAGTGCTGGAAGGGAGAGGGGTTTGCAGGAAGGAGGAGGAGGAGGAGGAGGAGGAGGAGGAGGACGACGACAACGACGACTGTGAGGTCTTTGGTGCTCTCTGAGCTGGGTGGTTTTCTTGCAGACGTTTCATTGCCCAACTAGGTAACATCATCAGTGCAAGAAGGGAGTGGGGTTTGCTGGGAGGAGGAGGAGGATTGTGGGGTCCTTGGTGTTTTCTGAGCTGGGTGGTTTTCTTGCAGACGTTTCATGACCCAGCTAGGTAACGTCATCATTGCTGGAAGGGAATGAACCTTACTCCCTTCTAACACTGATGACGTTACCTAGTTGGATCACAAAACGTCTTCGCTGGGTATCAAACGACGTCAATGGAACAGCCCGGCCACAGTGAGTGGCCGGCCACCCTAGAGATTTCAGGAGCAGCAGCATTTATTTGAACGACACGGCCGGAGAGTTGGGACACAACTATTGCTGGCGCCTTCTCTTTAGTGCGTCCAGTTTGATTGTCCGCTCCAAGTTTCCTCCGGTGTCCTTTCCAGGAAAAATTCAAAACAAAGGCCGAAAGAAGGAGGGGAGGCAAGGGCTTAAGAGCCAACAAAGGCCAGCACTGTTTGATTCAAATGCTGCGTTTTCACAATGACCCCGTTTGCTTTTCGGGCAGTTCCACTGACCCCACGGGGAGGGGGGGGGCTTTCCCAGGAAACAGGCTGGTGGTCACAGCCCTAAGGGGCAACTCCTCTGCCTAGGAAGCTATTAGCAGACAGAACGAAAGGGCGACGGACATCCATCCAGGCTTACCTCGCTCTCCAGGCAACTCTGCTTCCGTGGAGTCTGGGACGCCTTGAGCTTTGGAAAGAAGAAAAAAGAAGTCGCGTGAATCGGAGGGTAAACTGAGGACAGCATTAGAAAGGAAGAGGGTGAGGAGGGTGGCAAGTCATTGAAATACGAAGGGTGGACATTTGGGGAGGGTTTCTTTCCAGCAAAAGAAATAGCGTTCATCGTTGTTTAGAATTTGTGAGTTGGGTGGTTCCCACTCACCCACCCGTCCCCGTTTTCAGCTTCCATTCCCAGAAGAAACAATAGATGGATGGAGGAACGTCCCAAAAGTGCTTTTTCAGGAGGCAACTGGACTTTCTTCGTTTTTCCCTGAAAACGTTTCGCTTCTCGTCCCAGAAGCTTCTTCAGCTCTGACTGGAGGGTGGAGGATGGAAGGATTTATACTCCTTGAAGACAGCTGGTCGTTTGCCTTCTTTTAGAGAGTCGTTGAGGCCACTTGGAGGTAGTGCAAATGGGTGTGGAGCCTTCTTGGAACTGCTGGAGGAACAGATAAACCTCCAAGTGGCCTCAACGACTCTCAGAGAGAGTGCCAACGACCAGAGGACTGCAAGGACTATAAATCCTTCCATCCTCCACCATTCAGTCAGAGCTGAAGAAGCTTCTTGGATGAGAAGCGAAACGTCTTCAAAGGAAAAACAAGAAAGCCCAGTTGCCTTTTGGAAAAGAACATTTGGGACCACCATGATCTGGATGGACAAGATCTGCTTTACAAGGCCACACTTGGTAAGGCCACACTTGGAATACGGCATCCACTTTTGGTCACCACAATGTAAACAAGATGCTGAGACTCTGGAAAGAGTGCAGAGAAGAGCAACAAAGGATGATTAGAGGTCTAGAGGCTAAAACATATAAGGAACGGTTGCTAGTTTAACAAAGAGAAGGACAAGGGGGGACATGATAGCAGTGTTCCAATATCTCAGGGGCTGCCCCAAAGAAGAGGGAGTCAAGCTATTCTCCAAAGCGCCCGAAGGCCAGACAAGAAGCAACAGGTGGAAACTCATCAAGGAGAGAAGCAACCTAGAACTAAGGAGAAACTTCCTGACAGTTAGAACAATTAACCAGTGGAACAACCTGCCTCCAGAAGTGGTGAATGCTCCAACACTGGAAGTTTTTAAGAACAGACTGGACAGCCATTTGTCTGAAATGGTGTAGGGTTCCTGCCTGAGCAGGGGGTTGGACTAGATGACCTCCAAGGTCCCTTCTAACTCTGATTCTATTCTATTCTATTCTATTCTACTCTATTCTACATCTGAAGGCAGGACAAGAAGCAATGGATGGAAACTCATCAGGGAGAGAAGCAACCTAGAGCTAAGGAGAAACTTTTTCCAATCAACAAGTTGTCTGGAGTTTGCTATGCTAATACATGTTCAATTCCTAATCCTTCATTCTTTCCTCTAGCCAAGAATAAAATAGGTTCCAAATTTGATAGTAGTCTGTATCTTCTTTATCTTTCAACCTCATAGTTAATCTGTCCATCTCTGCACATATGTTGATGAAAAAAAAAACCCAATAAAATCTTTAGAACTAAGGAGAAACTTCCTGACAGTGAGAACAATTAACCAGTGGAACCACCTGCCTCTAGAAGCGGTGAATGCTCCAACACTGGAAGTCTTTAAGAAGAGACTGGACAGCCATTTGTCTGAAATGGTATAGGGTTTCCTGCCTGAGCAGGGGGTTGGACTAGATGACCTCCAAGGTCCCTTCCAACTTTATTATTATTATTATTATTATTATTATTATTAGTAGTAGTAGTAGTAGTAGTAGTAGTAGTAGTAGTAGTAGTAGTAGTAGTTCCTGATCTCTCATACCCAATAGTATTTCCAAAAAAACCCCTCACTTCTACTACATGGCAGGTGGGTTAGCCCTGCTATTGAAAAGTTGAGGACTTGGGACGTGGTTTATTCTGAGGGCTCCTTGGTGCTCTCTGAGCCTGGTGGTTTTCTTGCAGACCTTTCATTATCCAGCTGGGTAACACCGTCAGTGCCAAGAGGCAGAGCTAGCTGGGAGGGGGCTTCAGAAGGTTCCTTACTTTGACAAAATCAAGAACGGCTTCCTTCTGCATCTGCTTCGTCTTCCTCTTCTCCTCCTCGTAATGGAGGGCCGCCAGCTGCGCTTCCCTCCGCGTCCACTCCGTGAAGGCCTCGCGCCGTTTGGGTGGGTCAGCCTCCGTGGGAACGGTCTGGGGGGGGGACACAGAGGGACAAGGCACTGATATACAAAAGCCACGGAAGATGGCATCGTGTTCAATGGGAAAGAAATCCGTCAGACACCAGTCATACCTGATTGTAAGCGCAGGACGACGGCCCNAGGAGGAGGAGGAGGAGGAGGAGGAGGAGGAGGAGGAGGAGGACGACTGTGAGGTCCTTGGTGCTCTCTGAGCTTGGTAGTTTTCTTGCAGACGTTTCACTGCCCAACTAGGTAACATCATCAGTGCAAGAAGGGAGTGGGGTTTGCTGGTAGTAGTAGTAGTAGTAGTAGTAGTAGTAGTAGTAGTAGTAGTAGGAGGAGGAGGAGGAGGAGGAGGAGGAGGAGAATGATTGTGGGGTCCTGGGTGCTCTCTGAGCTGGGTGGTTTTCCTGCAGACGTTTCATGACCCAGCTAGGTAACGTCATCAGTGCTGAAAGGGAGTGGGGTTTTAGGAAGAGGAGGAGGAGGACTGTGGGGTCCTTGGTGCTCTCTGAGCTGGGAGGTTTTCTTGCAGACGTTTCATTGCCCAACTAGGTAACAACATCAGTGCAAGAAGGGAGTGGGGTTTGCTAGGAGGAGGAGGAGGAGGAGGAGGAGGAGGAGAACGACTGTGGGGTCTCTGAGCTGGGTTGTTTTCTTGCAGACGTTTCACGACCCAATTAGGGAACGTCATCAGTGCTGGAAGGGAGAGGGGTTTGCAGGAAGGAGGAGGAGGAGGAGGAGGAGGAGGAGGACGATGACGACTGTGAGGTCCTTGGTGCTCTCTGAGCTGGGAGGTTTTCTTGCAGATGTTTCATTGCCCAACTAGGTAACAACTTCAGTGCAAGAAGGGAGTGGGGTTTGCTGGGAGGAGGAGGAGGAGGAGGAGGACGACGACTGTGGGGTCCTTGTTCTCTGAGCTTGGTGGTTTTCTTGCAGACGTTTCATGACCCAGCTAGGTAACGTCATCAGTGCTGGAAGGGAATGAACCTTACTCCCTTCTAACACTGATAACGTTACCTAGTTGGATCACGAAACGTCTTCGCTGGGTATCAAACGACGTCAATGGAACAGCCTGGCCACGGTGAGTGGCCGGCCACCCTAGAGATTTCAGGAACAGCAGCATTTATTTGAACGAGACGGCCGGAGAGTTGGGACACAACTATTGCTGGCGCCTTCTCTTTAGTGCGTCCAGTTTGATTGTCCGCTCCAACTTTCCTCCGGTGTCCTTTCCAGGAAAAATTCAAAACAAAGGCGGAAAGAAGGAGGGGAGCCAGGGCTTAAGAGCCAACAAAGGCCAGCAGTGTTTGATTCAAATGCTGCGTTTTCACAACGACCCCGTTTGCTTTTCGGGCAGTTCCACTGACCCCACGGGGAGCGGGGGGGCCTTTCCCAGGAAACAGGCTGGTGGTCACAGCCCTAAGGGGCAACTCCTCTGCCTAGGAAGCTATTAGTAGACAGAATGAAAGGGCGACGGACATCCATCCAGGCTTACCTCGCTCTCCAGACAACTTTGCTTCCGTGGAGTCTGGGACGCCTTGAGCTTTGGAAAGAAGAAAAAAGAAGTCGCGTGAATCGGAGGGTAAACTGAGGACAGCGTTAGAAAGGAAGAGGGTGAGGAGGGTGGCAAGTCATTGAAATACGAAGGGTGGAAATTTGGGGAGGGTTTCTTTCCAGCAAAAGAAATAGCGTTCATCGTTGTTTAGAATTTGTGAGTTGGGTGGTTCCCACTCACCCTCCCGTCCCCGTTTTCAGCTTCCATTCCCAGAAGAAACAATAGATGGATGGAGGAACGTCCCAAAAGTGCTTTTTCAGGAGGCAACTGGACTTCCTTTGTTTTCCCCTGAAGACGTTTCGCTTCTCGTCCCAGAAGCTTCTTCAGCTCTGACTGGAGGGTGGAGGATGGAAGGATTTATACTCCTTGCAGACAGAGCTGGTCGTTTGCCTTCTTTTAGAGAGTCGTTGAGGCCACTTGGAGGTTTATCTGTGTCCTTAGGGTCACCTGAGTAGTGCAAATGGGTGTGGAACCTTCTTGGAACTGCTGGAGGAACAGATAAACCTCCAAGTGGCCTCAACGACTCTCAGAAAGAGCGCCAATGACCAGAGGACTGCAAGGAATATAAATCCTTCCATCCTCCACCATTCAGTCAGAGCTGAAGAAGTTTCTTGGATGAGAAGCGAAACGTCTTCAAAGGAAAAACAAGAAAGCCCAGTTGCCTTTTGGAAAAGAACATTTGGGACAACCATGATCTGGATGGATAGGGTTGCCAGGTGTCCACTATTTTTGAGTGGACAGTCCACTTTTTTCACATTATGTTCACTATTTTTTTTCACAAAATAGTGGACATTTTTTTTATTCAAAAGCTTTATGATGAAATGGTACGTAATCTAAAGCTGCACAGTCTACTTTTTTTTACTACTTAAACACCCCCCCCCCCTGCTTGTCCGCTATTTTTTGGAAGCAGACCTGGCAACCCTATGGATGGACAAGATCTGCTTTACAAGGCCACACTTGGTAAGGCCACACTTGGAATACGGCATCCACTTTTGGTCACCACCATATAAAAAAGATGCTGAGACTCTAGAAAGAGGGCAGAGAAGAGCAACAAAGATGATTAGGGGACTGGAGGCTCAAACTTACAAGGAACGGTTGCTGGAATTGGGGATGTCTAGTTCAGAGGTAGGCAACCTTGGCTCTTTTATGACTCGTGGACTTCAACTCCCAGAATTCCTGAGCCAGCATGGATGGCTCAGGAATTCTGGGAGTTGAAGTCCACGAGTCATAAAAGAGCCTAGGTTGCCAACCCCTGGTCTAGTTTAACAAAGAGAAGGACGAGGGGGGACATGATAGCAGCCTTCCAGTGTCTCAGGGGCTGCCCCAAAGAAGAGGGAGTCAAGCTATTCTCCAAGGCGCCTGAAGGCAGGACAAGAAGCAACGGATGGAAACTCATCAAGGAGAGGAGCAACCTAGAACTAAGGAGAAACTTTAACAATTAACAATTAACAACAATTAACAATTAACAACTTTAACAATTAACCAGTGGAACAACCTGCCTCCAGAAGCAGTGAATGCTCCAACACTGGAAGTTTTTAAGAAGAGACTGGACAGCCCTTTGTCTGAAATGGTCTAGGGTTTCCTGCCTGAGCAGGGGGTTGGACTAGATGACCTCCAAGGTCCCTTCCAACTTTATTATTATTATTATTATTATTATTATTATTATTATTATTATTATTATTATTATTATTATTATTACTACTACTACTACTACTACTACTACTACTACTACTACTACTACTACTACTACTACTATTATGTGATTTCCTAGGTTTCAACTGAAACCCAGATTCTTCAGTTCCACCATCTTCTGTTTTCTGCTCCAGGAGCTTCCAAAGCCACTTCTGAAAGGCATCACACAGGGTCGGATGGAGTACACCCCAAGGAACAGGGTGACAAATGGTGAATTAATTTATGGCAGAATGCAAGAATTTGAAGTGAAGGGAAGGACTTGTTAGGACAATCATCTTAAACAGAGAGTTCTTCATCTCTCAAACCCAATTGTATTTCCCCAAAACCTCACTTCTACTACATGGCAGGTGGGTTAGCCCTGCTATTGAAAAGTTAAGGACTTGGGACGTGGTTTATTCTGAGGGCTCCTTGGTGCTCTCTGAGCCGGGTGGTTTTCTTGCAGACCTTTCATTATCCAGCTGGGTAACACCGTCAGTGCCAAGAGGCAGAGCTAGCTGGGAGGGGTCTTCAGAAGGCTCCTTACTTTGACAAAATCAAGAACGGCTTCCTTCTGCATCTGCTTCGTCTTCCTCTTCTCCTCCTCGTAATGGAGGGCCGCCACCTGCGCTTCCCTCCGCGTCCACTCCGTGAAGGCCTCGCGCCGTTTGGGTGGGTCAGCCTCCGTGGGAACGGTCTGGGGGGGGGACACAGAGGGACAAGGCACTGATATACAAAAGCCACGGAAGATGGCATCGTGTTCAATGGGAAAGAAATCCGTCAGACACCAGTCATACCTGATTGTAAGCGCAGGACGACGGCCCNCTGCGCTTCCCTCCGCGTCCACTCCGTGAAGGCCTCGCGCCGTTTGGGTGGGTCAGCCTCCGTGGGAACGGTCTGGGGGGGGGACACAGAGGGACAAGGCACTGATATACAAAAGCCACGGAAGATGGCATCGTGTTCAATGGGAAAGAAATCCGTCAGACACCAGTCATACCTGATTGTAAGCGCAGGACGACGGCCCCAGGGCAGCAGAGTCCCGGCAGCCCCTGGAGGAAGAGAGAAATTTAGGGGGGGGGCAGGAGAAATGTGGGGTGTTATGACTCTTAAGTTGTGCCGGATGCTCCACAGACTGGAGCATTTATACTATGCCAGTGTTGGCGAACCTATGGCACGGGTGCCAGAGGCGGCACTCGGAGCCTTCTCTGTGGGCACACGCACCGTCTCCCCAGCCCCGCCTCCTCCCACGGCCCCCTCCTCACCAGCAGCCCCCCCAGAGGAGAGTCACCCCCGGGCGCGGCCCATGAGAAGCAGCGCAGCCAAGGACATGGTAGCCGGGCAGCGGGGAAAAGACTCCACCCTTGCGCCCCGTCGCACGCAGATGATGCTGCGGGGCATGGGCAGAGGGCGTGGCCGCCATGATGCTGCTGGGCTGCCTGGGTGATCTGTGGCGGGCTGTGGAGGTGGTGGGTGGCCCAGTGGGGACCGGGGGGGGCGGTATTTGGGCACTCGGTCTCTAAAAGGTTCGCCATCACTGTACTATGCTCACAAGGGCGCTCCACTGAGTATAGTGGTGAAGCTACTGGTCTAGAAACCAGGAGATGGAGAGTTCTAGTCCCGACTTATGCATGGAAGCCAGCAGAATGACTCTGGGCCAGCCACTAGGAGATGGAGAGTTCTAGTCTTGCCTTAGGCATGAAAGCTGGCTGGGTGACTTTGGGCCAATCACCAGGAGACGGTGAGTTCTAGTCCTGCCTTAGGCATGAAAATCGCCTGGGTGACTTTGAGCCAATCACTAGGAGATGGTGAGTTCTAGTCCTACCTTAGGTATCAAAACCAGCTGGGTGACTTTGGGCCAATCACCAGGAGACTGTGAGTTCTAGTTCCACCTTAGTCATGAAAGCCGGCTGGGTGACTTTGGGCCAATCACCAGGAGATGGGGAGTTCTAGTCCCGCCTTAGGCATGAAAGCCGGCTGGGTGACTTTGGGCCAATCACCAGGAGACGGTGAGTTCTAGTTCTACCTTAGGTATCAAAACCAGCTGGGCGACTTTGGGCCAATCACCAGGAGACTGGGAGTTCTAGTCCTGCCTTAGCCATAAAAACCAGCTGGGTAACTTTGGGACAATCAATCTCTCTCAGCCCAACCCACCTCACAAGATTGTTGTTGGGGGGAAAACAGGAAGAGGAAGGGATATTCCGTTTGCTGCCTTGTATTGTTTATAAAATAATAAAAGGCAGGATAAACAAAATCCAATGAATGAACGGAAAACGACTCGCCGCACGCTACACACAAGCACTGTGCAGAAATTTGTATGAATACAGTTAGCATCCAAGAACTGCTTTATTTAGGATGCCTAAGCTCTGGGCAGATTATAAAGTTATGGAAAGTATTATTATTGTTGTTGTTGTTGAAGAAAACCCTCTCTAACATGGTGCTTTGTACTTTATTGAGCAAAGGATATTTTCCCCTTTGAATCCTTACCTTTCTGCCCGATCTATAAAGTTCCTTAATCCTTGCTGTCGCTCCCTATCTTGCATTAAACTCAGACTTTCGGGTCGTTTTAATTCTTCTGCATCTCTGCAAACACATAAATACAGCAAATAGAAGACCATGGAGTAAGGAATAGGAAAGCCAAAGAAATTAAAAGTTTTGAGAGATGACCAAAAGGAAATAGAGCTAAAATATAGTATTCCTCGCCATATAATTATGGGAGTCAAGTTATTCTCCAAAGCGCCTGAAGGCAGGACAAGATGGAAACTCATCAAGGAGAGAAGCAACCTAGAACTAGGGAGAAACTTCCTGACAGTCAGAACAATTAACCAGTGGAACCACCTGCCTCCAGAAGCGGTGAATGCTCCAACACTGGAAGTTTATAAAAAAAAAAGATTGGACAGCCCTTTGTCCGAAATGGTATAGGGCAGGGGTAGGCAACCTTGGCTCTTTTATGACTCGTGGACTTCAACTCCCAGAATTCCTGAGCCAGCCATGCGGAGGGGAAAGGGGGAGTTTCCAAGCTGAGCCATGCTGGCTCAGGAATTCTGGGAGTTGAAGTCCACGAGTCATAAAAGAGCCAAGGTTGCCTACCCCTGGTATAGGGCTTCCTGCCTGAGCAGGGAGTTGGATTAGATGATCTCCAAGGTCCCTTCCAACATCATCATCATCATCATCATCATTATTATTATTATTATTATCATCATCTTCTTCTTCTTCTTCTTCTTCTTCTTCTTCTTCTTCTTATTATTATTATTATTATTATTATTATTATTATTATTATTATTATTATTATTATTATCATCATCATCATCATCATCATCATCATTATTATTTCAGACAAATGGCTGTCCAGTCTCTTCTTAAAAACTTCCAGTATTGGAGAAGGGGAGAGAGGGAGGGAGGCTAAGTGGAAAACCTGACAGGATGAAGAAACTTTTATCCAGCATCGGTTGACCCGATCTATTTTTACAACAGATGCCCAATGCAGACTGCGAATAAAAAGCCATTTTAGCATCCCACACATTCGCTTGTTCTAATTTAAGCATCTCCGATTCCTGGGTCAGGATCTGTCGCCGTTGTTACCATTTTTGGTGAGGTAATTAAAAAAACCTTTCAACCGTGGCTTGAGTTTCTCACTGGCCTTTTCGCAATCTCTGTTACATCTGGATCAGGTGCAGAGAGGACAGGATCCTCCCATCTTAAAGCAAACACTCCATTGTGGTCCAAAGGGACTATATTATATTAAAACCACCCTTTCGGTTCCCGCATACTGAAGCAGCACTTCTCAAAGGCCACTTAACAAAGTTCTCCCCCCCTCTCTGAGGCTCTTGGATAGGCTGGCGGTCACCATGGAAAGCTCCGAGCACACTAAAAAGCTGGGAGCAATATTGCCATATATGGAGAATCAGGAGGCATCCCCGTAGCTGGTTGAGGAACTCTTTTTATTTCTGCCTCAAAAATGAGACGAGGCCTCTGAGGTGGTCAGGTTGTAGCAATCGCGTCTGTTGCGGAGAAAACACTGCCCACTTTTCCGACGGGCGGAAGCAAACCACCGTCGGCTTGGACCACATGGACTGTGCACAGATCTTCTCTCCTTCCCCTGCAGCTTCTCTCAGCAATAGCACTTACACCAGGGGTCTTCAAACTTGGCCCTTTTATGACTGGTGGACTTCAACTCCCAGAATTCCTCAGCCAGGCACGCCTGGCTGAGGAATTCTGGGAGTTGAAGTCCACCAGTCATAAAAGGGCCAAGTTTGAAGACACCTGCAGTCATAAAAGGGCCAAGTTTGAAGACACCTGTCTTAAATCTAACAAACAAAATGGAGGCTGGCTGAGGAATTCTGGGAGTTGAAGTCCACCAGTCATAAAAGGGCCAAGTTTGAAGACCCCTGCAGTCATAAAAGGGCCAAGTTTGAAGACCCCTGTCTTAAATCTAACAAACAAAATGGAGGCTGGCTGAGGAATTCTGGGAGTTGAAGTCCACCAGTCATAAAAGGGCCAAGTTTGAAGACCCCTGCAGTCATAAAAGGGCCAAGTTTGAAGAACCTTGTCTTAAATCTAACAAACAAAATGGAGGCTGGCTGAGGAATTCTGGGAGTTGAAGTCCACCAGTCATCAAAGGGCCAGGTTTGAAGACCCCTATCTTAAATCTAAAAAAACAAAATGGAGGCCGGCTGAGGAATTCTGGGAGTTGAAGTCCACCAGTCATAAAAGCGCCAAGTTTGAAGACCCCTGCTTTAAATCTAACAAACAAAATGGAGGCTGGCTGAGGAATTCTGGGAGTTGAAGTCCACCAGTCATCAAAGGGCCAAGTTTGAAGACCCCTGTCTTAAATCTAACAAACAAAATGGAGGCTGGCTGAGGAAATCTGGGAGTTGAAGTCCACAAGTCATAAAAGGGCCAGGTTTGAAGACCCCTGTCTTAAATCTAACAAACAAAATGGAGGCTGGCTGAGGAATTCTGGGAGTTGAAGTCCACCAGTCATCAAAGGGCCAAGTTTGAAGACCCCTGTTCTAAATAAATAGCCGGCTTTCACATGTATCTACACTTCTAACTGGAGCCACCAGTAAAAGAGGCTGGATGAGAGACACAAGACACAAGGGGATGGAAACTTCACAAGGAGTTTTATCAACAATTGTAAATTCTACCGTAGGACCCCAGCATTCTGCTCCTGAGTAACACCAGTTTGGGGGTTTATTTATTTATTTTCCACTGTTATTGTTTTTTTTAGAGGTAACTCAAGATGAAGAACACACACAATATGCCCCCCTCCTCCTATTTTCCCGATAATGACTCTAAGATAGGTTGGGTGAAAATGACTGGCGCAAAGTCACCCATCTGGCTTTCATGCCTAAGGCGGGACTAGAACTCACCGTCTCCTGGTGATTGACCCAAAGTCACCCAGCCGGCTTTCATGCTTAAGGCAGGACTAGAACTCACTGTCTCCTGGTGATTGGCCCAAAGTCACCCAGCTCGCTTTCATGCCTAAGGTGGGACTAAAACTCCCCGGCTCCTGGTGATTGGCCCAAAGTCACCCAGCCGGCTTTCATACGTAAGGTGGGACTAGAGCTCACCGTCTCCTGGTGATTGGCCCAAAGACACCCAGCCGGCTTTCATACGTAAGGTGGGACTAGAGCTCACCGTCTCCTGGTGATTGGCCCAAAGACACCCAGCCGGCTTTCATACGTAAGGTGGGATTAGAACTCACCGTCTCCTGGTGATTGGCCCAAAGTCACCCAGCTGGCTTTCATGGCTAAGGCAGGACTAGAACTCCCTGTCTCCTGGTGATTTCCCCAAAGTCACCCAGCCAGCTTTCATGCCTAAGGCAGGACTAGAACTCACCATCTCCTGGTAACTGACTCAAAGTCCCCCAGCCGGCTTTCATGCCTAAGGCGGGACTATAACTCCCCATCTCCTGGTTTCTAAGCCAGCATCTTAACCACCACACCATAGTGGCTCTCTTCTATCTTAAAAAAAATACGAGCTGGGAATTCTGTGTTCCATATTAAGCTTAAGCTATCCCTCACATGTTCTTAAACTCCTACGAAATAAGAGTTCTCACCTATTTTGATGGAGGTATTTTCTTGCATCTTCCGACCTAGGAAACTCTCGGCTGTTTGTCGGTTTTACGGGTGAACCCTTCATAAAGGGGGAAAAAAAATAAGATTACTACAATCAACATTCAAGAACACTTGCAAAGCTCCCCCTCCAAAACTCTGATTCCCACGAAATCTTCCATTTTCATCTGTCTCGACCGACCGCATTGTTTAAAATACGCTTAAAATATTGGAAGCAAACAAAAACGATCAGCAAGCAGAGAAGGAATATCGGGCGGCTTCCTGTATACAGATCCCAACAAAGGCAGGGAGTCCTAAGTTGAGGGCTGGAATTTCCATTAAGCGAGACGGTTGTTATAAGTGAACCATGCCTGATTTTACAACTTTTGCACCAGTTGATCAATGAATCACTGCAGTTGTTAACTGAATCACTTAGTCACTAAGTGACTCCAATTGTTCTATCCCAGTCTACGTGAGTCCTTGTTTTGCTCACAAGGAGAAACCCCTCCTCCAAGAAACAGGCAGAACTGCAAGAAAAAACCAATCCCCTTTTGTTCTCACAGACCTGAATCCATGTCCAAGGCAAACAAACACAGTTCACAGAAACTTGATTCCTTAACACAAACGGTTGCCTTCCACAACCAGCACCTCCCACACCTTCCCTTTTATTATGCAGCCCAGGCGTGGCTTCCTAATGCCTTCTCCTTTGCCTTTGGAGCCGCCCCATTGCATTCCTCTGTCCTACTCGCTTCTCTTGCATCCGGGATTTGTCCCAGCTGTTCTTCATCACTGTCCAACTCAGGCTCCCAGCACAGCTGTATCTCAGCCTGAGCGCGAGTCCGACTGTAAGACTTGGAGCTCCTCAGAGTCTTCCTCTGACTTCCTCTGACTCTCAGGCCCCTCCTCCTCTGATTCCTCAGACTCAGCTGCCGGATCCACTGGCTGGCGAGCAGACACAAGGATATGATCTCAGAGTGAAAAAAAGACTGGTGTGTATGTGTGTATGTGTGGAAAGGCCAACCTGCTTAACCAAAAGATGATCTGAGCAATTAAAGAACAGCCAATCTCATTACTGCTTAACACTGCATGGGTAATGAAGGCTATGTTTGATCCGGAATGCACGATGGGATATAAAGTGAAAGAATGTATGGATCCAGAAGAAGACAGAGGTTGCCCCAAAGGAGTTCTTTAGCCAGCTACATATTGTTGGGTGACAAAGACAAAAAATTGGACACAGGACATGCCGAGACTAGTACAGAGGAAAAAATATCATATGCCTCTAACAGGCGTGTTCATGCAAGCCTTTTGCCCTATTTGATGATGATCAGAGGTAGGGAGGAGCAAATACATTACAGCGACTTTGCTTTAATTTGATTTTAGGCTTATTAACAGCCCTTTCATCTCCTACCATCCAGACATTCAGAGCAGGGGAGAGTCTGCCCACAGCGTGCCTGGTCTGTTAAGAAGCCAAAAACAAAAACTCATTTAGAGGGCTAAGGCCAACAAAAGTACATATACTCAAGGCCATGGTCTTCCCAGTTGCAATGCATGGCTGTGAAAGTGGGACCATAAGAAAGGCTGAGCGCCAAAGAATGGAGGCCTTTGAACTCTGGTGCTGGAGAAGACTCCTGCGAGTCCCCTGGACTGCAAGGCGATCAAACCGGTCAGCCCTGGAGGAGATCAACCCCGACTGCTCTTTAGAAGGCCAGATCCTGAAGTGGAAACTCAAGTACTTTGGCCACCTGATGAGAAGGACTCCCTGGAGAAAGGCCTGATGCTGGGAAAGATGGAGGGCAAGAGAAGAAGGGGAGATAGAAGATCTCCAAGGTCCCTTCCAGCTCTATTATTCTATATACTATATTCTAGTGAAGAGAAGGACAAGGGGTGACATGATAGCAGTGCTCCGGTATCATCATCATCATCATCATCAAGTTGGAAGGGACCTTGGAGGTCATCTAGTCTAACCCCCTGCTCAGGCAGGAAACCCTATACCATTTCGGACAAATGGCTGTCCAGTCTCTTCTTTGCCCCAGAGAAGAGGGATTCAAGCTCTTCTCCAAAGCCCCTGAAGGCAGGACAAGAAGCAACGGATGGAAACTGATCAAAGAGAGAAGCAAGCTGGAATTCAGGAGAAACTTCCTGGCAGTGAGGACAATTAACCAGTGGAACGGCTTGCCACCAGAAGTTGTGGGCGCTCCATCACTGGAGGCTTTTAAGAAAAGATGGACAGCCATTTGTCTAGAATGGTATAGGGTCTTCTGTCTGAGCAGGGGGTTGGACTAGAAGACCCCCAAGGTCCCTTCTAACTCTTTTATTCTGACTACCTGTACTCCCAAGGACCCTCTCGGGAGGCCTGACTTGGCAGACCCTGGAGAAGCTGCTCTCCCTCCGAAATGAGACGGAGACCACTGTGTATCATGGTTAAGCCTTTCCAGCACGGCTTAGCTCTCTCGGTAAGACTAAAACTCGCTCCCCTTCCTTAGTCAAATCTTGCTCGTGTTTAAAGTTGAATTGCAATGCCATTAACAGAACGAGACGGTTCATGATCTGGGTCTAATTTGTGTCTGGATTTAATGATGTTAGCGCAACAGACAGGACCGTCTTTTTTGCATTCTTCTAGCGTTTACCCCCGCGAAACGAGCAAAGGAGCTGGAGAATCACGACGGAAAACACTGCAACCGCTGTCGCCTTCCCAGTCCAATAACCTCAGGCCAACACCAACCAATAAAACCGTCTTTTGTTCAAACCTACGTTCTAAGAATAAACCCCGAAGCTGATTGAATGCCTCTTGTTTCTCGGGGTGGGGGGGAAGCCAGCATTTAGAACGATGACTTTATTTCAGCCTTCCCTTCGGGCTTCGGAAGGTCTTGTGGCACTGTGGGGGGGGGTGGGGGATGCTGGTGACCCACAACTGAAGCCTTTTTGAAACTTTTTCTGCAAATAGGCGTCAGCTGGAGACGTTTAGTGATCGTACAGAGTTATGACGGGCCCTTCAAAAAGGACGTAAAATTGGGCCGGTCGCGCGACGGAAACACTGGTTCGGTCTAGCAATTAAAGCAATTAGGCTAGAAACCAGGAGACGGTGAATTCTAGTCCCGCCTTAGCCATGAAAGAGGGCTGGGTGACTTTGGGCCAATCACCAGGAGACGGTGAATTCTAGTCCCGCCTTAGTCATGAAAGCCAGCTGGGAGACTTTGGGCCAATCACCAGGAGACAGTGAATTCTAGTCCCGCCTTAGGCATGAAAGCCAGCTGGGAGACTTTGGGCCAATCACCAGGAGACGGTGAGTTCTAGTCCCGGCTTAGGCATGAAAGCCGGCTGGGAGACTTTGGGCCAATCACCAGGAGACGGTGAATTCTAGTCCCGCCTTAAGCATAAAAGCCAGCTGGGTGACTTTGGGCCAGTCCCTCTTTCTCTCTGTGAATGCTCCAACACTGGAAGTTTTTAAGAAGAGACTGGACAGCCATTTGTCTGAAATGGTATCGGGTTTCCTGCCTGAGCAGGGGGTTGGACTAGATGACCTCCAAGGTCCCTTCCAACTTTATTATTATTATTATTTCCAGTTTTTCTTTTTTAACCTTTTATTCGTACCCTGACCAATTTACAAACCGAGAGGAGAGGAGAAATGGGGGAGCGTTTCAAAATGGGATCGATCAAAAACTTAAAATAAAAAAAGGCTGAGCTGTGGATCTCTGCGTTCTTGTTTTCTTTGCCGCTACGGTACCTTGTTAAGGCAACCGATAATTTGGCAGGCCAAACATGATTAAAATCATAGAATTGTTTAGCAGCACACCCACACAAGGTGTACCATTGTGCCTATACGCATTCCGAGAGCCCTTTCATAAACCAGGAGCACAATGGCGATTATACTGTATTCTCCAAATCGTGCATCTATTTCCTTTTGCTGGCTTTCACCATGATTGAGGCTGCTGAATATTAATGGCTTTCAAATAAAAATCTGAAATAGTAAATATTATCCAAGAGAAGGACGAAAGGTAAGTATGCCGTTATCCGCAAAACCCCAAGATAATTCAAAGATAAAACCACAACGACATACAGTCCATTCTTGAAAACCAAAGGCTGTATTACAGGTAATCTTCGACTTACGACGGCTTATTTAGTGACCGTTCAAAGTTGCAACAGCACTGAAAAAAGTGACTTACGACCGTTTCTCCCAGTTAGGACCGTTGCAGCGTCCCCAAGGCCACGTGATCAAAATTCAGGCGCTTGGCAACTGACTCATATTTACGACGGTTGCAGTCTCCCCCGGGGGTCACGCGATCCCCTTTTGCGACTGTGTGACTTAACAACCTTGTTATAACTTAACAACTGCAGGGATTCACGTGACAAGAAATGTCATAAAATGGGACAAAACCCGCTTCGCAGCTGCCTCGTTTAGCGACAGAAAGGTCGGGCTCCATCAAGTTGAGGATGGCTTGTAAAAGATGAGCCTCGTTCCTTTTTTTTTTTTTGTAAAATTAAAATTCATTTCGGTTTTCAAAAGCGAATCAAAGCAGCAACGCTGCCAACGTGGCTCGTGAAAACCGTCCGGTGGGAAAAGATGGGAGTTCACGGCAAAGGGGTTTCCGTGGGGCATGTTGTGCAAGCCCCCCCCCCCCCGCTCACCCACACCCACCATTAAAAAAAGAAGCGTCACCTCGTGGGAGATTCGCCGTTGTTCAATATAGGCCATGAATTGCGTGCTGAGACTGTCTGGCTCCGGGCATTTGGCCTGCCTCACTTCTTCTTCCTCTTCCTCAGTGGCACAGCTGTCAATAAAGTCGATTTGATCCAGATCCTGCTCCACTGGAGACCCAGAAGGGAAAAGAGTTATCGGGCACCATCAGAAGAGCCATCTCTCTCTCTCTCTGTCTCTCTCTCTCCCCCTTTCTCTTTCCTCTCTCTCTGTCTCCCTCTTTCTCTTCCTCTCTCTCTTTCTCTTTCCTCTCTCTTTCCTCTCCCTCTCCCCTTCTTTCTCTTTCCTCTCTCTCCCTTTTCCACTCTCTCCCTCTCCCTCTCTCTTCCTCTTTCTCCCTCTCTCTTTCCTCTCTCTCCCTCTCCCTTTCCTCTGTCTCTCTCTCTTATCTCTCTCTCTCCCTCTCCCTCTTTCTCTTTCTTTCTCTCTCTTCCTCTTTCTCTCCCCCTTTCTTTATCTCTTTCCTCTCTCCCTCTTTTCCTCTCTTCCTCTCCCTTCCTTTTTCTCTTCCTCTCCCTTTCTCCCTCTCTCTCCCTTTCTCTTTCCTCTCCCCCTCTCCCCTCTTTCCTCTCTTTTTCCTCTGTCTCTTCCTCTCCCTCTCTCCCCCTTTCTCTTTCCCCTCTCTTTTCCTCTCCCTCTTTTCCTCTCCCTCTCCCTCTCTCTTCCTCTTTCTCTCTTCCTCTCCCTTTCTCCCTCTCTCCCTTTCTCTTTCCTCTCTCTTCCTCTCTCCCTCTGTCTTTCTTTCTTCTCCCCCCCTCACTCAGAAAAAAGGATTTATTTTCTCACAGAAACAACTCCCAGGTTTTGACATTTATTCAACATCAGATTAAGAACTCTTTAGCTGAAAGGGAGATTTTGAGATAAAGGGAAATATGATTATTAGTTTCAACTAGTGTTGGAAAATGATAAAAAAAATAAGGGATTAATTGGCCTAATATGGAGGATTTAGATTTATAAGGGGAATGAAAATTAGCTATTAGGAAATAGCTTCGAATTATTGTTTAGCCCAGATAACACAGACGATGGATTTGAGACAATAAAGGATACTCCACTAGTAAGTGGTGATGTAGGGTTATTCTATTCCAGTCTATTCTATTCTATTCTATTCTATTCTATTCTATTGTTTCTCTATTCTGTTTCTCTATTCTATTCCATTCCATTCTATTCTATTCTTTCTTCTTTCTATTCTCTTCTCTTCTTTCTCTATTCTATTCCATGCTATTCTAGATGCAATATCTATTCTCTTCTCTTCTTTCTCTATTCTATTTATTCTATTCTAATTCTATTCTATTCCTTATTCTATTCCTTTTCTCTATTCTATTCCTTTTCTATATTCTATTCCATTCCATTTCTCCTTCCATTCCATTCCATTCCATTCTATTCTCTTTTTTCTATTCTCTTCTTTTCTTTCTCTATTCTATTCCATCCTATTCTAGATGCAATATCTATTCTCTTCTCTTCTTTCTCTATTCTATTTATTCTATTCTAATTCTAATTCTATTCTATTCCTTATTCTATTCTATTCTATTCTATTCTATTCTATTCTATTCTATTCTATTCTTAGAATATTGGTTACAATCTGTGCTTGCCGGCCGCTTGCGCAGAACCATCCCCTCCCCCACCCACCTCCCATAAAGCCGGAACTCTGCCCAAGCTGATTCACTTCCCAAGTTGAAAAGCATGATTTCACTCGATTTCCCAGCGCCACTGTTTTCAAACATACAACTTTTCCTGGTATTGTCAAAATTACATAAGAATATGCTGGGGGGGAAGAAGAGGTAACCAAATTCCTTTCTGCTAGATTGGTTTGGTCCAAATGCCATATGGCTGTTTCTTCTTTTTGCAGGAAATGAGGGAGGGGGAAAAAAAATCAAATTATGACATAAGGATTTAATTTTTTAAATAAATAAATAAATAAATCCCCCGTTTTGTGGGAAAATTTGACGCTGTTCAAACCGTTTAACTGTATTAAACTGAGAACTGAATGTGTTTCGTATCCTTGGAAGAAGAAGCCGGAAATCTTTTTCTGAATGGTTTTTTTTGTTGTTGTTGTTGTTTTCCTTTTTTTAAAGAAAAAAAAATCCTTCTGCACCTCTTTCTCTTTTTTTTCTTCCTTTCTGATTGTTAGTTTATATTAGTTTTTATTTGTACGTTTTAATAAAATCATTATAGTCAACAAATTATTTCCTGTACTAAGCAAGGACTTCTGGAAAAAGCTATTATTTATGTCCTGAGCTCACAGGAGCCAGACCAAGGCTTAACTGATACTTTGGCAGGTTCAGGCTGTTCTTTCCTAGGACTGCACCAGCGTTGGAAGCACAAAAGCTGGAAGGTTTTGCTGGAATTGGGTATGTCTAGTTCAATGAAGAGAAGGACGAGCGGGGACAGGATAGCCGTGTTCCAATATCTCAGGGGCTGCCCCAAAGAAGAGGGAGTCAAGCTATTCTCCAAAGCGCCTGAAGGCAGGGCAAGAAGCAACGAATGGAAACTAATCAAGGAGAGAAGCAACCTGGAACTAAGGAGGAATTTCCCGACAGTTAGAACAATTAACCAGTGGAATTCCTTGCCTCCAGAAGCAGTGAATGCTCCAACACTGGAAGTTTTTAAGAAGAGACTGGACAGCCATTTGTCTGAAATGGTATAGGGTTTCCTGCCTGAGCAGGGGGTTGGACTAGGTGACCTCCAAGGCCCCTTCCCCTTCCAAGAGTACAGAGAAGAGCAACAAAGATGATTAGGGGACTGGAGGCTAAAACATATGAGGAACGGTTGCTGGAATTGGGGATGTCTAGTTTAATGAAGAGAAGGACGAGGGGGGACATGATAGCAGCCTTCCAGTATCTCAGGGGCTGCCCCAAAGAAGAGGGAGTCAAGCTATTCTCCAAAGCGCCTGAAGGCTGGACAAGAAGCAACGGATGGAAATTAACCAAGGAGAGAAGCAACCTGGAACTAAGGAGAAACTTCCTGACAGTTAGAACAATTAACCAGTGGAACAACCTGCCTCCAGAAGCGGTGAATGCTCCAACACTGGAGGTTTTTGAGAAGAAACTGGACAGCCATTTGTCCGAAATGGTATAGGGTTTCCTGCCTGAGCAGGGGGTTGGACTAGATGACCTCCAAGGTCCCTTCCAACTACTATTATTATTATTATTATTATTATTATTATTATTATTATTAAGCCACCAAATGAGATCTATTACCTCCTCCATTTGTGACCAGCGAGTTCTCTCTGTGTTCTTGGTACTGGCTTTCTCTTCTCAGCCTCTGTTCTTTCGTGATCTCTGCCACTCGCAAGGGAAGGTCCGAAAATTCATCGGTCGGCTACATTAAAAAATAAAAATAAAACCTCTTTTTTTTTGTTGTTGTATCGATTAAACCTTTGAGACAGAACCTTTGTTAAGTCTCTCCTGGGAAAAGCTGCACTCAAATACACCCAAACAGCACCTAACAAGATTCATTACTTGTAAATAAAAATTTACTCGGTAGCAAAATTCAGTTCTGGGTTTTATCTCTCTGCTCAGTTCAGTGAATGTCAGGAAAGTAGCAGAAATCTACCTCCAGACTTGGGAGAATTAGGATCCCCTTCAAAGGAGATTCCTCATTTTGGTGCATTTGTACAGCAACTCAACACGCCCCTATAATTTTACTCCTATCGACAAATATCTCAACCTATTGCTTCCCAATCCCCACAATTAAGAGTTAACAATTTCAATTTGTTCGATTTAAGGACTATTTAGAAGGGGGGGGGGAAAAACCCCTCCTCTGAAAAGGAATGACTTCAAATGAACTAAGCCCAATTTGAAATGACCCTTTTTGTTTTTTTCTTCTTTGTAATGGCCGTTGCTTGACTAGAGTTTTATTGGAATCAAATATTGGATGGCTTCCTGCCTCTTAGACTTACGATAAGTGGCATAAAAGGATGCTATTGATTAGTGACTTCTCAGTCTCTAATTTTTTTTTGCAATTCCAGAGACAAAAGCGATACGCAAGAGCAAAATAAAGATGTTTCAAGATTACAGCCTTCTGAAACGCGGATTCTGCCTTGTTCCGCCTCCCTTTCCTAAGCTACAATTATCGGCCAGCCGAACACAAAACCACGCACGCTTACTTCGTTTCCTGACCATCTTTTATCTCCGCTGTCTACGCTGTTGAAGCCGGAATCCAGCGCTCCGTATGGTCGACTCGAATACAGATCTTCGTGGCTATCAAAGAGGGAAAGAAAGGAGAAATTCTTTGGGAAACATCTGATATTAGGCAGGAATACAAAGGGCACAGTTGACCCTTTCAGGCTGCTTTCTATGCGGAACGTGATCCCACAAGAGAGGTCTTGTTCTTACCACAGATTTTTTTCTCCCCCTTTTCCTTACACGATTGTTGCACTGTTATTATCTTGGGCTACTTCATGTGTAAAGTGTCAGCCAGCTGGTTTTATTTTATTTTATTTTAATGTATTGTATTTTACTTTTTACTTTATTTATTTTATATATTTTATGATTTATTTTTTATTTTATTTATTTTATATTTTATATTATATTTTATAATACATTTTATTTTATGTACTGTATTGTATTTGTTATTTTTTAGTTTATTTTATATATTTTATTATTTATTTATTTCATTTTATGTATTGTATTGTATTTTACTTTTTCATTTTATTTTATTTTATATTTTATTATTTATTTTATTTTATTTTATTTATTTTATGTATTATTATTATTATTATTATTATTATTATTATTATTATTATTATTATTATTTCACAAAATACTGGAAATCCATCCCAAGTGAGCTCCAGACATGCCAAGGATGTGTGTGTGTGTGTAGCTTTTATCCATGAAACTGACTCCATCACTAGACAGAGTCAGGACACAACGCTCTTAAGAGCTGAGTGAGCGAAAACAGATCTCCCCCTATGCCCAGTGACCAGACAGACTTTAGAAATGCCTCATGGGAAAACTGCCTGGGTCAGCACCCAGTGTAACAAAGGACACATCCCCAAACCCCCCCCCCCTTGCCAGTGGACATTTTATCAAAGCACCCTCTGTCTCACAGTCACTGATGCCCTAGGGCAGTGATGGCGAACCTTTTAGAGACCGAGTGCCCAAACTGCAAGCCAAAACCCACTTATGCATCGTCGGGGGCCGGGTGGGTGTGGCCCATTGGCTGGGTGTGCCCGCGGTGGTAACGGCAGACTGGGTGGGACTAAAAAGTTCAATCAATCAATTCCAACTTTGCGAGATCTTTTTTTTTCCCCGCGAGAAGTTGAAATTGACTGATTGATTGAACCTTTTTTTTTTTTTTGCACACGGCAGCGGAGGCCTAAAGCGAAAAGGTTTTATAAAACCCAGCTGAAGGCCTAGGACTGGGGCGACGGCACATGTGCCCACAGAGAGGGCTCTGAGTGCCGCCTCTGGCACCCGTGCCATAGGTTCGCCACCACTGGGCTAGGGCAGGGCTAGGCAACCTTGGCTCTTTTATGACTCATAGACTTCAACTCCCAGAATTCCTCAGCCAGCCATGCTGAGGGGAAAGGGAGAGGTTTCCAAGCTGAGCCAGGCTGGCTCAGGAATTCTGGGAGTTGAAGTCCACCAGTCATGAAGGGGCCATAGTTCCCCCATGCTGGCTCAGGAATTCTGGGAGTTGAAGTCTGCCAGTCATGAAGGGGCCATAGTTCCCCCATGCTGACTCAGGAATTCTGGGAGTTGAAGTCCACCAGTCATGAAGGGGCCATAGTTCCCCCACGCTGGCTGAGGAATTCTGGGAGCTGAAGTCCACAAGTCATGAAGGGGCCATGTTTTTGAAGACCCCTGTCTTAAGACCTTGCATTTTAGTTCAATGGACTTCAAGGTAACTCACAAGCATTGTGAGTAATAAAATCATTACTTTACCACAGGGGTCTTCAAACTCGGCCCTTTTATGGCTCATGGACTTCAACTCCCAGAATTCCTGAGCCAGCCACGCTGAGGGGAAAGGGAGAGGTTTTCAAGCTGAGCCTTGCTGGCTCAGGAATTCTGGGAGTTGAAGTCCACGAGTCATAAAAGAGCCAAGGTTGCCTACCCCGGCCCTAGGGAAATTCACAGTGGGTCTACAACAACAACAACAAGTAGACAAATGTCTACGGAGATTCTCAGTCATCCAGGTCAGGGTTTGTTCCAAAGGTGCTTTTTTTTTCATGAGGCAACTGGACTTTCTTGTTTTTTCTTTGAAGACGTTTCGCTTCTCATCCCAGAAGCTTCTTCGGCTCTGACTGGATGGTGGGGAATGGAAGGATTTATACTCCTCGCAGACAGAGCTGGGCATTTGCCTTCTTTCAGAGCAGTGGTTCTCAACCTGTGGGTCGGGACCCCATTTGGGGTCGATTGACCATTTCATGGGGGTCGCCAAGCAAGGCTGTCCGCCATTTTTTTTGTCCGCCATTTTTTTGTCCGCCATTTTTCCCCCTTTTCCGGCAGGTGCCTTACCTCCCTTGGGCTGGGCCAGCTGGTGGTCGGCCTGCTCCGTCTCTGCCACTTGCCAGCTACGCCTTGGCCGGCGCAGGGGGTGGAACCACGCATGTGCAGCGCTCCCGGGCAGGGAAAGTCCTCGACTTACGACCGGTTGGGTAGTCCTCGACTTACGACCGGTTTAGTCCTCGACGTACGACCGGTTTAGTCCTTGGCTTACGACCGGTTTAGTCCTCGACTTACGACCGGTTGGGGTCGCGGCATTAAAAAGGTTGAGAACCACTGTTTCAGAGGGTCGTTGAGGCCACTTGGAGGCGGCAGGATATTTTCTGCCCTGTGTCCCTGCAGCTAAGAAGGCTCCATGCCCATTTGCCCCACTCAGGTGACCCTGAGGGCACAGGTAAATCTCCAAGTGGCCTCAATGACCCTCTAAAAAAAGGCAAATGACCAGCGGTCTGCAACGAGTATAACTCCTTCCATTCCCCACCATCCAGTCAGAGCTGAAGCAGCTTTACTTTGGTCGGGGTCGGATATATTTTTACAGCTTCCCTTTCACGGCTTAAGTCATCTGTCCTTAAGCAGGATTTGGCAAGATCAGCATTGTGATTACACCCCCCAAAAAAACAATTACCCCCCCAAAAAAAGATTAAGAACCCAAAGCATTATTTAAGCCGGATGGACTTCAACTCCCAGAGTTCCTCAGTCAGCGCAGAGAATTCTGGGAGTTGAAGTTCACCTGCCTTAATTCAGGCTAAAAGTTGAACATGAGTTTGAAACGTCTGGATGCTTACCAGGATCCGAAGCCTATCGGTCGCCTATCGTAATCGGGAAGGTCTGGCACCACTTTACACGCTTCCATGTTCAGATACTTAAATATGTGGACTTTTCCTTTTATACATATCTAGAAGGAGGAAAAGAGACAAAAGAGACTTTTTATTTGTTAATGATTTCATCCGCTGTAGTCTATGATTGTCGATTTTAACGTTTTTTTTAATGTTTCCATGTTTGCCTGCTGTAAGCTGCCCAGAGTTGTTGGATACAAGATGGGCGGCAAAAGACATTTCGTAAATAAATTTCACAAATAAATAAATACATTTTGAAAGCAACGCAGTCTACGTGAGACCGAAAGCTATTTTGAAAAAGTTTGGCCAAGGAAATATTCCTCTGAGTGATTGAAGAAGATCAAACCGACAGATTCAGGGCAAATCAGATATAAAACCACCGCTGAAAATTTCCATCCTGCCTTTGACAATAAATCTGAACTCTTTAAAGCACCACATTCTAGCACAGATCTTAAAGAAAGAAATTGATCCGGTTCAATATACGATGGCAAGTGGTTAAAGATAGTCTTTAGTGGAAGAACATTTTCTATATAAAAGGACATACGTGTCACTTTGAAAGTTTTAATGCCCAATATTTTAATCTTTTTAACCTTGTAATTGTTTTATCTATCTATGGCTGTCTGTCTATCTATCTATCTCTACCATCTATTTATCATCAATCTATTATCTATCTATCTATCTATCTATCTATCTATCTATCTATCTATCTACCTACCTACCTACCTACCTATCTATCCCTGTCTGTCTGTCTGTCTATTATTTATCTATCATCAATCTATTATCTATCTATCTATCTATCTATCTATCTATCTATCTATCTATCTATCTATCTATCTATCTATCTATCTATCTATCTCTACCATTTATCTATCATCAATCTTCTATCTATCTCTCTATCTCTCTATCCATCCATCCATCCATCCATCCATCCATGTGGGAATGTTGTTGTTGGTTCCTTGATTAGGCTGTTTTTACTGTTAGCTTGTTTGTCTGAGTTGGACAACTTTGACAGGGCAAAGCCACTAGTATATAAACAAAGAGCAAATCCCACTCCCTTCTAGCACTGGTGATGTTACCTAGTCAGGTAATGAAACGTCTATAAAAAACCAACAAAGCTTAGAGAAAACGAAGGACCCCACAGTCCTCCTCCTCCCCCTCCCCCTCCCCCACTCACAAACCCCTACCCCTTCAAGCACAAGTGACGTTACCTAGTTGGGTAATGAAATGCCTGCAAGACAACAACCCAGTTCAGAGAGCACGGACAACCCGTCAGTTCAACACTGAGCTACAAATACTCTTCTGTGTGTGCTAAATTCTCCAGTTTTTCCCTGATGGCACCAGCTTCAAATGCCCTTGGTGCTACATTTCCCCGTAAATTGCCAACTGTTGTTTTTTTTTAAACCGGGCTGCCCCTGTATATCATTAGTCTCAAACGTGATTTAATAATGTGTTTTGATCGGCTATCAATTGCAGTTTCATGTTTGGACTTCGAATGCAAAAGAGCTTCGAGCAGACTCTTCGGGGCTTCGTTTCGTGACAGTTGAGGGCTTCGGGTTAAATGGAGGGAACGAAGCCTCGAAGAGGAGAGTTTGGGGGTTTGTAAATGTTTACTGGCACCTATGCAGTTGTCGGGGGGGGGGGAGTTCCCTGCCTCCTAAGCATGCCACTGAAGCATTATCTCTGAATAGGGCCATTTTACACTTGCACTGGACCATAAGAAAGGCTGAGAAAGGCCAAAAAATGGAGGCCTCTGAACTATGGTGCTGGAGAAGACTCCTGTGAGTCCCTTGGACTGCAAGGCGATCCAACCAGTCAGTCCTAGAGGAGATCCACCCCGACTGCTCTTTAGAAGGCCAGATCCTGAAGTTGAAACTCAAGTCCTTTGGCCACCTAGTGAGAAGGAAGGACTCACTGGAGAAGAGCCTGATGCTGGGAAAGATGGAGGGCAAGAGAAGAACGGGACGACAGAGAAGGAGGTGGCTGGATGGAGTCACTAAAGCAGGAGGCGTGAGCTTCAAGGGACCCCAGAAGATGGTAGAGGACAGGAAGGCCTGGAGCAGGGGTGTCAAACTCAATTTCATTGAGGGCCGCATCAGCATTGCGGTTGCCCTCGGGGGGGTCGGGGTGTGTGGGCAGTGTGGGTGCAGCCTACTGGGTGGGCGTGGATGGAGTGGGTGTGGCCTACTGGATGGGCGTGTCCAGCTCTACATCATTCGCGTCAAGGGTGCCTGTGGGGGCCTGGGCAGGAGTGGGACAGATCTGAGGGTCTCTGGCAGAAGGGGGTGGGACCAGGGCACAGCCCATCAAGCCGGATAGGTGAAGTAGGCGAGGGCCATTTGCTGGCCACTTCCAGGTGATGGTGCATTTCTTCATTCCTCACAAAGGGTGACACCTCCCCAGCAGGCACCCAGGGGACGGGGCCGATGCGCGGCAGGGGCTGGTTCCTCGCTGTTTCCGGACGGCCTTGTGGAGCTAAGACTGAATGCGTTTCAGCATAGATGGCCACCACAAAATTGTACATTGGCTCCCGGCCGGCCTGGGCCAGGGCCAAGGCAGCGGGGGCCGTTCCCTCACTGTTTCCAGGATGGCTTCACGGGCCGCATGAAACCACTTCGCGGGCCACATCCGGCCCCCGGGCCTTGTGTTTGACATGTCTGGCCTGGAGGAACGTTGTCCATGGGGTCGCGATGGGTCGGACACGACTTCACAACAAACTTGCATGGACAGGATCAATTACCACAACTCACAGCCACAGCAAAATAGCAGACGGCGCAGTGATTTTTAGCCTCTCCGCTCTGAGGTTTAAATTGCGGGATTCATTTTCACGGATCGTCTCTCGTCCAAGGTGAATTCTAGGCTAAGCAACTTTGCCCACAAAGCACACATCTAACGCCACACTCTTTAACAACGATGCAACAGTGCAAAAAACACCAGAAGGCACAATGGGTTTAGAGAAACTGCAGTTTTAGTCACAATTTAAAAAATTTTAAAACTTGGGGATACGTTACCTGGGCGGGGGGAGACTGCAAGGGGTTGTTATCTAAGGTGATTGTCTGCAAGTGCCTGAGGTTCCGGTAGCACACTGGGATTGTCGTGATTTTATTGCAGGAGAAATCTAGCCGAATCAAAGGCAGCTCGGCAAGCTCTGCAGGGGGACACACATGCAACACAATAAAAAAAAAATACGTTAGGGGTCAGCTGGTTGTGGAAGAAATAAGGCATTCGTGTCTAAGAATGAGCACAATTACACATATTCGGAAGAAGAGCAGCAACATAAAACTTCCTTGTGTGTCTGTGTGTATAATAACAATAATAAAGTTGGAAGGGACTTTGGAGGTCATCTAGTCCAACCCCCTGCTCAGGCAGGAAACCCTGGACCAGTGTTTCTCAACCTTGACAATTTTAAGGCATGTGGACTTCAACTCCCAGAATTCCACAGCCAGCAATGCTGGCTGTGGAATTCTGGGAGTTGAAGTCCACATGCCTTAAAATTGTCAAGGTTGAGAAACACTGCCCTATACCATTTCAGACAAATGGCTGTCCGGTCTCTTCTTAAAAACTTCCAGTGTTGGAGCATTCACCCCTTCTGGAGGCAGGTTGTTCCACTGGTTAATTGTTCTAACTGTCAGGAAGTTTCTCCTTAGTTCTAGGTTGTTTCTCTCCTTGATTAGTTTCTCCATCCGTTGCTTCTTGTCCTGCCTTCAGGGGCTTTGGAGAATAGCTTGACTCCCTCTTCTTTGGGGCAGCCCCTGAGATACTGGAACGCTGCTATCCTGTCCCCCCTCTTGTTTCTCTCCTTGATTAGTTTCTCCATCCGTTGCTTCTTGTCCTGCCTTCAGGGGCTTTGGAGAATAGCTTGACTCCCTCTTCTTTGGGGCAGCCCCTGAGATACTGGAACGCTGCTATCCTGTCCCCCCATCTTTTCTCTTCATTAAACTGGACATACCCAATTCCAGCAAATGTTCTTTGTATGTTTTAGCCTCCAGTCCCCTAATCATCTTTGTTGCTCTTCTCTGTACTCTTTCTAGAGTCTCAACGTCTTTTTTACATCATGGTGACCAAAACTAGATGCATGTTTTTTACCTTCAGGTAAATGCACCAGGTGATTCCTCCTGATGTTGAGATCCCGCAAGGAATTGAGATTGCCAATCTGGGGAGGGATAGTCTGGATTTCATTGCAGCTGACATCCTGGAAAAGAGAGGTGAGCTCCATTTAATAATGTCCATTTTTCCCCCCCTCACCTCTGCATTCAAGTGAAAACAGTCCTTCAGAAGCTCAAAAGTTATTTGAAGGACCATCTTTTCCTGGTCACATCTACCCGACCCACCAAATGGGAAAGCAGAGAATATACTCCCCGTCTCCTAAGGAGGTCCATCTGGTGGGACCAAGAAGAAGGGTCTCCTCCATGGTGGCTCCCTCCCTCTGGAACATCATCCCTGCAGAGATACGATT